TTTTGTTACTTTAGCATTTTCATTTTCGCATTGATTGTTTGTTCTTTCCCACTTGTGCCTTCACGGGTTGGCATTGCTTGAGTGTGTGCAGATAGTGCATGACCCGTAGCCAGTCGGGAGGTTTACTGCCGTTGGATCCAGAGCTTGAACGCACATGCCGCCAACTTAGGAGACAACAGCGAGCTAGACTGGCTACGGAAGAGCGCATAGACGGCCATTTGGGCAGCGAGTCCGAGGATGAGTACGAGATGGAAGGAGATTACAATCCACACCAGGGGAATCCTCACCAGGCTCCCCCGGTGAATCAGATCTTGGGGAACAACCCCATACCCCAGGCAGATGGGGTTCATCATCATCCACCGCCGCCGGGTCCCACCTTGGAGTACTACTACACTCCACGGATTGCTGACATCCGCTCGGTCATCCTCTACCCGCCTATTCCAGCGAACAATTTTGAGATCAAGCCATGCTGGATTCAACTCATTACATCCTCTATCCAGTTCCATGGCTTGAAGGATGAGGAGGCAAGGGTGCATCTTTCCCGTTTTCTGCAGCTGACGAACGGGTTCAAGCTGAACGGTGTCCCTGATGATGCAATCCGCCTTCACCTCTTCCCCCATTCTCTAGCGGCGAGTACTAAGAGGTGGTTGGAGACCCAGCCCCCATTGTCCATCACTTCTTGGGATGATCTGGCTGACAAGTTCGTGCATAGGTACTACCCAGCATCGAAGACCACAGAGATCCAGCGGGAGATCAATCACTTCCACCAAGAGCCAGACGAGTCACTTCGTGATGCATGGGAGCGGTACATGGGATATTTCTGGCAGTGTCCGCATCATGGCTTCAGTGATGCATTCACAGTGGGGAACTTCTACAGTGCCCTCTCTCCGGACAGCCAGAGGGTGATTGAGTCTCTATGCCCAGGAGGGGATATTCTTACTAATACTCCACCCAAACTGAACCAGATGATCAGTGCCTTGGTTGCCAGAGATCATTCCTGGGGGCAGAGCAGCAGAGGCAGACATTCCCGGGACCGTGGTGTGCACGACATGGAGACCAGATCCGGGCTCGAGCAGCAGGTAGCCGAGTTAGTGCAGACATTGAAGCAGCCCAACAGTCTTATTCCAGGCCGAGGTACGGCTACGCCTCCGGTAGCTCAGTGTCAGTGGTGTGAGAGAGCCCAAATCATCTGGTGGAGGACTGTCAGGCTATGCGAGAGTCCTCTACTCCCCAAGAAAAGGTGGACTTCATCGCCAATGCTCGGCGCCTTGACCCATATAGAAATACATACAATGACGGGTGGCGCCAGCATCCCAACTTTGCCTGGAACAGCAACGCCACTAAACCACCTGGTTTCCCAGCACCAGCAGGTGGTTTTCAGTAGAGGCAGCCCTTCCAGGCTAGGCAGGGGCCCCCACCACAGCAGCAGCCCTACCAGCCTAGGCAGGGGCAGCCATTCCAGCAGCCCCAGCGTCAGTATGCCGAGCTAGCAGCAGCTCCAGCTCCAGATAACCAGATGACGGAGCTCAAAAACATTTTAGCGGCATTCATGACTACCAGCCACGCAAATTTCGCCAGGATAGACCAGAGCATCGCCTCGCTGGAGGCAGGTCAGAGGAACCAAGGTGCTATACTGTCGGACCTCCAACATCATATTGGAGGAATAGCCCGCCAGAACAACACCAGGGCACTAGGAACTCTACCTGCCACTACCATCCCCAATCCACGGGAGTCGCCCCAGCAGCTGGATGTCATTTTTACCAGGAGCGGTAAGACCATATCCGCTGATCCTGCCCCGGCCAGGCAGGAGGAACCACTACCTGCTTCAGCACTTCCAGCCGACGATGCAGAAGTGCGGGTGGAGAAGGAAGCCCCTGCTCCCAAGCCACAACCAGTGGTTAAGGAGCATGTGCCCCAGCTTCCCTTCCCCACTCGCCTACACAAAGACAAGCTGGAGACTGAGTTTGCCAAGTTTATGGCAATGTTGAAGCAGCTCGACATCAGCATACCGTTTGTGGAGGCACTGTCGAAGATGCCCAAGTACGCGAAGTTCATGAAAGATCTCCTCACCAACAAGAAGAAACTTGGGGATCTCTCGACAGTACTGCTGAGCGAGGAGTGTTCTGCTATCCTGCAGAACAAGCTGCCCGAAAAGCGCAAGGACCCAGGGAGTTTTACTATCCCTCTTACTATTGGCCGCATGCATCTAGGCAAGTCCTTAGCGGACCTAGGCGCTATCATAAATGTCATGCCATATAAGTTGTATAAAAAGCTATACCTAGGTGAACTTAGCCCTACTAGGATGAGCATTCAGCTAGTTGATCGTTCCATTATGCATCCTAGGGGATCATAGAGGATCTGCTTGTTAATGTAGGTGCATTCACATATCCTGTTGATTTTGTTATTCTTGATATACACGAGGATGTGGATGTGCCCTTGATTCTGGGTAGACCATTTCTTGCGACCGCCAAGGCACTTATTGATGTGCATGATGGTAAACTGATCCTGCGTGCTGGGAATAAACAGGCTACTTTTTCTGTGACTGAATTCAATCACTGTGCTATGATTGCTGTCACACTTGTGCATGCCATTTCTGATCAGGTACACGAGCCTGTCGTGTATCCTTCTGCACCTCTCATTTTGCAGGACCCTCCTATCATTCCTTCGCCGCCACTCCATCTAGTCTCGCCTCCGAACAAAAAGATCAAGGAGGAGTGGCAGCCGAAGAAGCAGGTTGCTAAGCCTGCACGGAAGAAATGTGGCGACCACTATGAGCTGGTCCCACCTCCTGCACCACAACCACCCTGGCCATCCGAGTGCTCACTCGCATGCATCTTGCCGGATGGCCAGGTCGAGCTGACCAATGCTGGTGGTCGCACCCGTCGGGTGCATGGCCACAACCTGAAGCTGTACCTCAAGAGCGACGTGGATTCACTCTTGGAGCCACCTGTTCATGCACCTCCCTGAGTATCCACCATGGGTGTCCAGCTAAAAGACGGTAAAGAAGCGCTTGTGGGGAGGCAACCCCACCACGGTTTTCGTTGATTCCTTTTGTTTTGGGTCGGATTGTGAACTGGTTTGGTTTTGGTTTGTTTTCTTTTGTTTTGGGATGATGTCTTATTGGGCTGACAATTGGACCTAACGGATTGTGTTTGAGTTCTTTGGTTTCCTTTAGTTGTGCTTGTTCTTGACTGGTCCTCTCTCTAGTCCGCTTCACTCCGACTGGTCCGCTTCCAGTCTCCTGCAGTTCGTGCACACCGGTAACATCGTTCCCCTTTTCCTTCCTTCTTCTCCATTGAGGGCAATGTCGATCTTAAGTGTGGGGGGGATGTTTATCTTTTGACTGCGTTAGATCTGTTTGTGTGCTTGGAGCCTAGTCCACTGTCCAAATTTTTAAATTTGAGGGCTCCAAGTACGTGTTCCTTGCAATTGCCTGCTCAGTATGCTTTGAATTGATAGTCTCTATAGTAATGTGCAACCTAGGGAGGTAGTGTAGCACTATGGAGGATGTTGATGCATTTAAGAAGTCTTCTTTCTTCTTCATATTGTGTTGGTTGATTGTGTGAATTAGTGATCTTAGGACTCTTGAATTGTGTGGTGATGTGGACTCTCTACCTGTCATGGACTCCTGTATCATGTTTTGAAATAAAAGGTGCTAAAAAATGTGCTTTAAAATAACGTCTCCCGTGCGAATAGGGCGAAAGTGTGGAAGAGGAGACGGGAATCCGTTCCCAATTTCCACCTACTACCTCCAGTCCCCTTACATGTCTTTCCCCCGCACAAGGCTCGAGACATCCGCTCCTGGCATGGCCGGTAAGAGACGGGCTCCCGCAAAACCTCTGCTAGATGGGAGCCCCCATTTTCTGAAATGCAGGTTGGGACCCTTGAAAGAAAAAAAAACAGAAAAAACAGAAAAACAAGCAAAAAAGAAAGAAAAGGGGTTCCAACCATCTTCAAGAAGAAAATAGAGCACCTTAAAAAGGTGAGTCCATGATCTTTTGTTTTTGAGAGTCCATTCGTCCACGATTCATTTGTCCTCTGTTCAATATTTGCCATGATGCCGACTCGAGACTAGCGCTCTCGCCGAAGAAGCTATGAGATGACTTGTGCGTCGGTTGACCTCGTAAATTGCTAAATGATCTAGGAAATCCTCTACCTATGTTCGGGGTTGTTGGTTGCTATAAAGGTCTGGAGAGTTGCATTGGTTTGAGTTAGGTTTGCTCGGGGACAAGCAAACGGTTAAGTGTGGGGGAGTTTGATAGACTGATAATTGCACATGTTTTTACCCCTATTCTTGAGCCGTTTGAGATGTTGATTCTCGTGTTTTAAGCCGATTTCACGCGAGGTTGTACGATTATGTCATATTTCAGGACCCGACGTTGGAATCGAGGCGAAGGAACGAGATTCGGGTCGAAAGGAGCAAGTGAGGCTTGAAGTGTGCTGGAGAGCAAAAATACCCGGCCAAGAGCAGAAATACCCGACCGGGTATTATCTGGCCATGACCGGGGATTTTTGGCTTTGGGCGTCCGTGAGAAACAGAAGGGGGCCCGGGCAGGAGGCGAAAACCCCGGGTCGGGGATTCTTGGGCCAGACCGGGGATTTTCCCCTGACATCAAAACGCGCGTTTTAATTATACCCGGTCGAGACCCAAAATACCCGACCGGGTATTTCGACCGGGTATCGCGACAGGTAGCTTTTTAAGGGAAAAGAAGGCTAAGAATCAAGGGTTCCGAGTTTTAGAGAGACAGAGCGATTCCTAGAGAGAGAAAGCGACGAACCAGAGTTCCCAAGTGCCATAGCTTGATCTTCATCACCATTGGAGCCTGGCTTGAGCTTGGAGAAGTGCCGATTGAAAACCGGGAGCAGAAACTCATCCTTCACAGTATGGTTTCCGCATCTGAATCTGCTTTTGCCTCTTTCTCCATAGAGTAGTTCTCCCATTCATCTGGGTATGGAGAACCCTAGATTTGTATGTTAGGTCTGATTGTATGAACCCAAGTACAAATTTTATGATTTGATTATATTCAATTGAGGCTTGAATGATTGAATGACTTGAATCCTGATCAAATTCCTGTTATTTCTGCTTTAGCCTAGAATGAGAATATCTGCCTAGGTTAATAGAGCTCCCTTAATTGAAGGTAGTGAATTGGCAACTTTAGTCGAGGAGCCAATAGACTATTCTGTACCGAATCTGCTTCGGTAGTGGAAGTTTGGTTCATTAGGGCCTCAATCTGTTTACTCCGGTGGAGGTTAGTCGGCCGCTGGGGACTCAGATTGAGAGGGTTTGGAGACCTTTAGTCGAGACTTCAGACTATTTAAGAACCTTCCGCAGTATAACTTTCATGGAAACTGAACTTGGTAATTGCAATCCGGCTTAACTGCAGTCTAGGGGGAACCATATCCGGGTGACCTCTCTCGACTTGAAACAACCGTTTAACTTGCTTTGTGTTTTTTCTTGTTTGAACCAGCACTTAAGTTTTACCGCTAGATAATAAGAATTCACTGAGTAGTCATCACATCTAGGACCCGGGTTGACATTAAAACCCAAACCCGCTATACTACGCTTTAGGAAGTGGTTTCACTTGGCCATTTTCTAGAGTGATAGTAGGAGTGAGTCAAGGCCGCCATGGGTAACTCCAGCACTGACGGCCCTTCTGGTTGTGGGAGAAAGTCTTCTTGGTAATGAGGTTGTTCTTGATATGCCCAGGGGTATGATTTTTCTCCGTAGTAAGGGGGTTGGTACTGGAACCCGAATACATAGTCTTCTCCTCCTTGATTGCTCCAGGGAGTCTCGGGGTAATACCACTCGGATGGTGGTGGATACCCCCAATGGTTAGAGAAGCCATGAGGATCCATGATTCAGATCTGCACCAACAAAAACAAAAACACCCAAGTGAAAAGCAAGGGCGGAAAAGAAAGAAAAGAAAAACGCTAAAATAACAAACTTATGCCTTTTCTAATAATCTAGAAAGTCCCCAGCAACGGCGCCAAAAACTTGACATGCTATGACATAACTCCTAACAAAGGCCAAGTGTAACCAATGAAAAGGACTACAGTATAGTGGCTCAAGTAATAAATATCGAATCCACGGGTCTCTAGAGTTACTATTACTCAGCTTCAGTTCATTATCTAGCAAACCATATTAAGATGAAAGAACTAAAACTACCCTAACAAACTACAGTTAAAGTTAATCTAATTACAGGTTGGGAACTCACTTAGGTATGATTCCCCCTAGCCACTAGCCAGATTAATGATTGATGATCTCTAACTTTTTTCACTTTCATTCACAATGCGGAGAATCCTTGACTAGACCTTGAGTTTCGACTAAAGGAACAAGGCCCTCTTGAGTCAATTGCCTAGAGGGACGTATCCTTCTCTAGAACAACCGATCAAGGCGTTCTGAACTAGACTCCCTCTAAAGAGGTTCTCAATCGATACAAAGCAGTGAATCAACCCTCGACTAAAGCAATCGATCCACTACTATCAAACTATGGTGCTCTATTGACCTAATCTGGTATTCGCTCTCATAGGATCAAAGCAGAATCAATAATCTCGACTAAAGCATAATTGAATCATGAAAACGTGCATAGATTGAATATGAACTCAAGATTATCAAGCAAGAGTACTCATACAATCATCCAATCAAACAAACATAGCTAGGGTTCCTCAAAACCTAAGTGAAGGGAAGTTACTCCATAGAGAAGAGAGAGACTGCAGTAAGAATCTTCAGATGATAAGTCTTCAAGTCCGGGCTTGTTCTTCGAGCTTCCAAGGTGAAGAATTCCTCCGATTCCACTCCAAGAGTACCCTCAAATTGCCCTCTCTCTCTTTGGTTAGTCCCTTGGGTGTTTGAGATCCAAAACCCAGCTCTCCCTTTCCTTTGGCTTCAATCTGCCTCAAAAACTCTATTATGGGCAAAACACGGTCAAGGACACGACCGTGTTTTACTTTTGCCCGCCCGTGTTTTTCCCCGAGCAGCCCTCGTCGTCCAAAACAAGGTCGTGCCTAAATATGGACACGTCCGTGTTTTTCTTTATGCCAGCCCGTGTTTTTACTGCCGAACCTGTTTCCCTATATTCAATGCTTCGTTTCTCCCTCGTCCGGACTCCGAATCAGTCGCCGTTTGATCCTAGACGCTCGTAGTCTCGTCCTCTTTCTTTTCATGAAAAGCTTACATGATTCTTTGTCCATAAAGTGAGGTAGAAATTCATTCTTCTTCAGGTCATGCCCGAGTTTCTTCTCCCTAATCGCCAATTGATCTCTGATTGACTTGAAACTTGCGCCTATGCTTCACTTTATGTGCTAGGACCTGAAATGTGACAAAGGAACACAACCTAGCGTAAAATAGGCCAAAGAAGTGATAATTAAAGCTCAAACAGTCAAGTAACAAAGGGGAAAACATGTGCAAATATCGAGTCATCACTGCTACGGATTTCAACATCCATGGATGTCCTTAACCAGCCTTTAACAAGAGCATCACATCGATGCCACGCGCGCGACAAATGGGGGGCGCCGTTGGGTAACGAGATTTATCCATCGATGAATCCCACCTTATTCTTTGTCACCAAGGCATCCGTCATTTCAAGTACCCATTCGCTGTAGTTGGATGGCGTTAACGGGCTGCTTACGTGAAGGTGCTCGGTGCTATCTGACTGATGGATGAAGAAAGGATCGTGAACGTCAATGTCTTTGGATCCAGAACTCGAGTTCGTTGATTTACCCGAGGGTGGAGTCTCGACAGCAGAGTCTTCGTCGGCCATGTTGGGTGTTGAACTGGAATCGAATCACAGCTCTGATACCATGATAAAAACGAAAAACGCGAGACAATGATTTACGTGGTTTCCCCGATGATCGGGACTAGTCCACGGGAGAGCTTTGCTCTCCAGGCTAAAATCTTATTAGTTTTCCTTCGTTCTGGCCGATGGCCATGTACATTGTTTTATACCCTGTGTCATCATTGGCTAGGGTTACATTATAGGGGCAACTAAAAACCCCACACACGTGAGATGCCACCCTAGGATTACTAGGCTCTCGGCTGGAACTCGATTGAGCCATATGTGATTGGACCTTGTCCATTAGGATGAAGTTGTGGAGATGAATAAGGGTATCCTTCCTATTTGGCTTTAGATTCAAAAAGGGACGAGATGATGGTCTGGGACGTCGAGGATCTCATGTAGGGATGACAATTACCCACCATGGGTAATTTAATCCAAATCAAAGTAGATCCATAGATTATGGGTAGGGTATGGGGAAATCTATATGGATTTGGGAGATTGTAGATGAGTTTGGGTAGGATATGAATATTGCTTTCATACTCTAAATGGATATCGGTTAGATATAGGGATGACAACATATCTCAAACCCACGGGTACCCTATCCGACCCAACCCGGTCAACGCGCATAAAACCAGTGTTGATGGGTTTTGGGCCGGGTTTGGGTTTAAATCCGTTCACTACTCACCGAGTTGGTTGGGTTTGGGTTTAGGTATACCCGTCCAATGGATACCCACCCATAACCATATAAATAATTTTCCCGGTATATTTAATATTTTAAGCAATGCTAAATTACACGTTTGATCACTCAAATTATACAAATCTTTCACGTTTGCCACTCGAATTACTTTTCTTTCTTATTCGCCACTAACTTTACGAAACATAAAGTTTGACCATTAACTAGATGACGTGGAAATTAAAAAAAATAATAAATAATAAATTTAAATTTCCATTTCATAATCTCACTTACGATTTATCATATTAATTCTTTAATAAAAACTAATTAAATTACAAAAATTGATAATCCAATTTCACCCTTGAAAAGACGAAGAGTCGGAGTCGAGCCGATTCTCTAGAGCCAGTCAGCAGCCCAGACTCTCTTATTTTCTAGATCTCGTCTTCTCATTCTGCCTCTACTTCTCTTCCCCTCGCCTTGTTTGGAGAATTAGCTGGAGATTCCAAGAAGTATAATTAGTGGGAGCTCATACCATGCCCTTGAACTAGGTAGCGGATCCCGGGCTCGTCGAAGCAAAAAGAAGAGACCAAGACTCGAACCAGGGAACGGATCCCAGGCCCGACGATCATCACGCCTATCAGCAGTCGCCGACCACCGAAATTAGATTCGGACCACCCTAAACCGACGAAAAAACGCAGATCTAGGTACGATTATGGTTGCAGGTATGCTTTGTTATTTATTTTTTTTTATTTTGTTGTTATTTAAAGATTTGACTCTTATTTTCTGGTTCCTACCTACTGACGAGGGGAGTGGAAGAAACAAAACTGACAATCAATTTTTCATTCTTACCAGCGACGGGCGAAGCTAATGGGAGACAATTGGAGGAGACGCTTTAGTTTTGGGTCTTGGTAAGTTTGTTTCTTTCTTTCCTGTGTTGATCATTTTGTTTTATTTTAACTTTTTGTCTTGATTTAATTTAGGTTTTAGTAGACATAAAGGATGATGAGTGCTAGCACTGCGATTCCAGCTAAATCAGCAGCGACGACGAGAGAGTCGAAGAAACCGGGCAGAGATTCTTGAGCGGCTTCCCGCAAAAATCACACTCCTATTTTCCCTTCCTCTTTCCAAGGGGAAAATTGGATAATTAATTTTTATAATTTAATTAATTTTTATTAAATAATTAACATGATAAATCATATAGAAAAAGACAAAAAAGTAAGTGTAATGATGAGATGATTTTTTTAATTTAATTTCCATGTCATCTAGTTAACGGTCAAAATTTATAGTTGATTGTCACGTAGGATAAATTTAACGGAGTGTAACGGCCGGTAACCAACGGTAAAATGATTTGTAAAGTTAGTGGCAAATAAGAAAGAAAAGTAATTTGAGTGGCAAACGTGAAAGATTTGTATAATTTGAGTGACCAAATGTGTAATTTAGCCTTTTAAGCAACTAATCTTCTTTATATTTGTGGAGACATGTCTTATTTTTTCTTTCTAATTGTATGGAATAAAGTAGATATTATCTAGTGGAGAGTGAAGAAGCTTTCAATTAATCATATTGTTTATGAATAATTTGTGATTTGCTTCAATTTTCTTGATCATTTTTCTAGATTGGTGTTGAACAATATGTATGGTTAATTTGTGGTTTGCTTGAATTTTCTAGAATGGTGTTTTATATATCGATAATTTTTATTGAGAGATTGATATTTGACTTTTATTTTGATAGAAACTTGTTATTGTAAATTTTTTAAGACAAAAACCCATGGGTACCCATGAACCCGCGGATACCCAGCGGGTTTTGTTGGGTTTGAGATTTCCAAACCCAATGGGTTTTGCCCCAGGGTTTTTTCAAGGATAAACCCATGGACTTGGGTTTGGTAAAACCCGACCCATTGTCATCCCTAGTTAGATATGGATACCCATTTCTTTGAGGGTGTTTTAACTAAGCATACATAAATTGGACCTATCTGTAAAAATTAAAAAGTTTGGGGACCAAAATGCAATACAAAAATTAGGTACTAAAACATAATTTTGCATTGATGTTTTGAGGACTTATATAAAAATAAATTAAATTTAGGTACTAAATGTAAAGATATATTAAGTTTAGATACCAACCTATAATTTGCAAATGGTTATGGTACAAACCCAAATCCATAAATCAAAAACCCAACCCAACCCAACTAAATGGGGTAAAATATATCGGGTACCACTAAAGTATGAGAATTGAGAGAGTCATACAACTTAAGTTAGAATAGGGCGTCGTGTACCACTGACGCCAATAAATTGTAAATCCGTTAAAATTTCCGTCCATCTACCGTGAAGATGGAATAACATATTATTTTTTGGACAAAAAATTAAAAATAATACAAAAGAAAAAGGAAAAGGAAAAAAATCCAAAAATTAAACCGACCACCAAACACCATTCCTCCCAGCCGCCGACGTAACTTAGGGCGGAGGTTTGGCATTAAGAATTTGAATAGCACAATCATTCAAAACCTCAGCAGCATCAATGCCATCGCCGCAGTCTTTAATCAACCAACTCGCTTCATCTTCTCCCCGACAAGATGCTAACCCTGCCCCGCTCCAATCTCCGATGGGGCCGAAGAAACCATTCCTTCACCGGCATTGTTGAGCGAACCGTCGATCATCCCGACAGATTCCGACTCCAGCGGTACTAAGTGCAGGCGAGACGAAGAAAATCCAGAACCCGACACGAAACCCGACCCTTCGGTCCAACCCTGGTACAAAACTCGACGCGCCGTGCATTTGGCTAGGAGGTGGATCGTGAAGACGTTGCAGGGGCAGCACCCACCAGACGGCGAGGATGGTTTGGAGACGGAGTGAACGAGGACATAATTATTTATTTATTTTTTTAATTTCACACTATTTTTAATTTTTGGACAAAAAATAATATTTTATTCCCTCTTAACGACAGATGGACGAAAATTTTAACGAATGTACAATTCATTGACGTTAGTGGTGCCCGACGCTCTATTCTAAATTAAGTGGCATGACTCCCCCAATTCTCATTAGTGGTATTCGAGGTATTTTACCCCAATTAAAATAGGTATGGCCGTATGGGTACAAACCATGGACCAGAAAACCGGATCGTACCGTCCGATTCAACCGGTTTAACCGGGAATTGGACAAAAAACGAAACGGTAGGCTGTTATGAGCCTTTTTACCGTATCGGCCGGGTTTTCCGGGTTAACCGGCACAAAGCGAGAAACCGCCCGATTTTTATCTAACCGGCGGTAGCCTATATCCAGTAAAAAACGTTGTCGTTTACATAACGAAAAAAAAAAGAAAGCCTGCATCCAATCAACAAACGCCCAAAAACAAAACCCTAATCTCTAATCATATGAGTCTCGCCCAGCCCCAGCCGCTCCTCTTCTCTTCTCCAGTCTCGCCCAGCCCCGCCGCTACTCTTCTCTTCTCCTGTGGCTAGTGGTAACTGACGATCCGCGACCGAAGAGATCAAGGAGGCGACTGGCGAAAGATCTAGCTGATCCATGCAACGCTCCGTCGCTCCTCTTCTCTTCTTCTCTGGCGATTGGAGAGATCAGCGAGGCAACTGGCGAAGAGACGAGAGTTTTCGATTAGGGAGTGCCATTGATTTGGATTTGAACGCGGGGGGTGGCGGTGGTCGGTGAGATTGGGTTTGGATCTGATCGTCGGCGGCGTCGGATTCCAAACCACATCGACGTCGGTCCATTTCGTCTCCCCCAATGCTTCAACATGCTCTACGTGCTCCACTACCTCGGGATGAAGCCGTGGCTGTGCTTCAGGGATTACGACTGCAATTGGAACTCGGAGATCTTCCTTTTCACCTCTTCGTCGTCGCCGATCCAGAAGTGCTTCAGGAAGTTGAGCCGGCGAGGGATTCGGTGCCACCAGGTGAAGATCTCGTTCAGGTAGCCTTGGTCGCCGCCGTTGTAAGATTGGATCTCGTTGTTGTAGGATTGGGTTTGCGATGAAGTTTGGTGAGGAGATGTGTGGGTGAGACCGTGAGAGAGAGAGAGAGAGAGAGAGGGGCAGAATGGAAGATGGGGAAGGGAAAAGGTGCACGCGTGCACGGGGAGGATAACCCAGGCACTTAAAATGATGGGATTTTTTTTATAAAAAGTTTTTTTTTGTTTTTATTAATTTAGTTGTATTTATTGTCCGGTATATTTCGATACATCCGATACTACTCCGAGACGGTACCCTAATTTTGCCGGCACGGTTTTTTGACAAAAAATATATTTTATTATTACAAAAACGGTATTTACCAGTACGAAATGGTTGAACCACGGTCGTACCACAAAATACCCTACCAAAAAGGAATCCGATATGATGTCCGGTACGGTTTCCTTTACCATGGTACAAACCCATCAAACTTTACCCATTTACCATCTATTTGGATTTCATACACAACCCAATTTGTTGAATACTAAAATACCCATGAGTGTGTGTAAAATTGTCATCGCTAATCTCATGCATGTTCTCATCGATTAGGAATTTCCTCTGGAGTAAGGGTTGATTCCCGGTGAATTTCCTCCTTTTCCCATCTTGTCAAATTGGAAAGTAATAAATCCAACTTTCATTTTTTCCTCCTTTGTAGTTTCTCTCTCTCCAAGAGCGTTTCGCATTGTTAGTCGTTACCACCCGAATTTTCTACATCTTGTACAACGATGAAGATTTATGTCAAATCTGGTGGTGAAGTTTAAGAAATGAAAGACGTTTGAAGCAGGTTGAGCGGCATATGGGATGATTTTCCTTGACTTTGTCCGTGTCAACAGTGTTTTGGTAGAAGAAATTATTTCTAGGAACTGCGGTTTATTGGTTTTTACATAGGTGCGTAACTCAACCTTCAGTGGCGTTTTTGCAATATCCTCCCGACCTGTGCTCTGAAAAGATCATGCATGGGCTACCAGGACAGTGGGAAGAGCCTGGGGAGAAAGATGTTACGAGAATCAAGTCATCATAACTATTGGGCCGCGATTTGGGCTTGGTAATTTTATTATTTAGTATTTTACTATTAATTGTCTTTATTTGTATTTTCCTTGTTTATGTGTGATTTGGTTATTGTCAGAAACTGTACAAGAGGCAATACGACTTGCCAATGTGAAGAACGAGGAGCTAGCAAACATCGAGGAATGCAGAGGAGTCAACCGCGTGCACCCTTGGAGGCCGCAACCGAGCCACCACCACCTCCACCGCAAATCGCACCGCCGCGCAACCCAAATGCTAGGAGGATGTCGCCAGAGGAGGTAGCACGTCGTCGGGCGCAAGGACTCTGCTTCCATTGCGACGAATGTTTTACGATTGTGCCAACAAGAATGCTCATGATAGGCGCGTGTACCGACGAGGAGGAAGGTCAATTCATCCATGAAGATGACCAACCTTGAGGGCAAGGTTGCTGCGAAGGGTGGAGGAATGTTACGAGAATCAAGCCATCGTAACTATTGGGCCTCGATCTGGCTTGGTTATTTTATTATTTAGTATTTTACTATTAATTGTCTTTATTTGTGTTTTCCTTGTTTAAGTGGGATTTGGTTATTGTTAGTAATTTCATTAGAGGAGTAGGAATCATGTTCTATATATGATAAGGTAGAGGCTTCTATGCCTATAAATATGTACTTGGCCTTTCGTTTTATGTCATGTTGAAGATCGGAACCCAATAGTAGTTGTATTTATCTTCGTTCCTCTGAATATTCTCTTCGTTCTAAATCTCTTTCTTACGGATATCTTTCAACATCGACGACACACGTTACGTGAAGGTTCTCACCGGAGAAATACACGTAACAAAAGAGCATAAGGAAAGGAAGCATAGCAGGGAGCAGTTCAATACGAAGGAGTTGGGGATGTGGTTGGAGATAGAGTGGTAGCTGGGGTGAGTGTTGGAGTGGGACTCGTGACCGAGACAAGAGCAGAGGTCATAGGAAGGCAACGTGGGGATGACGGTTACAACAAAAATTGGAGGTAAATGATTTCCATCCAAGAGATATTATTTAGGAACTAAAATGGGGTTTGTTGTTTTTCTAACAAAAAATAATATAAATGATAAAAAGAGGGGCAAAGTAGTCATTGCCAATCCCTTCTAGCGAACATTTGTCAGAAATAGGGACATAAGAGCACATTTATTACATTTTGATACTTAAAGGGCATGAATGTGAAAAAAATAAAAGAGGACACATTTGTTAACTTGCAATAGTAAAGGGGTATAAAATACTATTAACCCTTTAAACTAATTCATTCACAGTCATCAATATAAAAGAGTGCAAGAGATTGAGTATCACATAAATGGTCCCTAGAGCTACAATCAATTATTTCCTTTTATATATTTTTGACGTAATTTATCTATCCAAATGAGTACGATGTTTAGTAATTTAGAATGATCTTTAGCAATTCAACAAAACTAGGTCGGGTTGACCACCATACTGCCACCCACAGGACGCGTCCAGGGGGTACCGCCACCCCCAGGTTGTGCCGGGGGGGGGGGGGGTGAGAACCATACTGTCACCCCCATGATGTACCGAGGGGGGTGGGAACCCTATGGCAACCCACCACCCCCATGACGTGGTGAGGAGGGTCACATGCCAAGAAGTGAAATATGACTAAGTATGGAGAATGATGTTGCCCCCATGGTAACACTCCCATGTGGTAGACAAGCAAGGGTCATCAACGTGCCAACCCCATGAGGGATCACCCCATGAGATGATCAGGGGGTGGTCATCAACACACACCCACATGATATGATTAGGGGATGACGAGGAGGGCTGGTATGGTGGAGTGATGGCTTGAGTGTGATTAAAGGGGATGGATGGTCGAATTTGGCTAAGGCACGGGGCTCCATGGTGTGATCACGGGTATGATCACCATACCCCTTTGCGTGGTGAGGTGATGGCAAGAAGCCACCCCCATGGTACGATCATGGGGTATTCATCAACATAACCCCCTCATATGACTAAGAGTGGCCAAATTTGGCCAAGGGGAGACATCCTTATGTGATGGGGATGACATCAACATGTCCTCCTAGTGGTGAATTAGTATTTTTACCATTTTTACCTTGTGTGATTCAAACACTCACCCACATATGGCAAGGGGGTCTTCACGCTTTTGTCATTTTTCTCAACTGACAAGCAAAGCTACAGAGGAACTATCAAGAGGAGGGGTCAAGTCTGAAGAAGGGTGGCACATCCAACGTCAGAATAACCGTTAGAGCAGTTGAGAGAGTAACCGTCACTCCACACAAGCGGAACAGTTTCACGAGGCAGTTACTTCTGGTGGCTATAAATAGGAAGTGAAGATGACATAAATGGGGTTCGCAACAATCACTACTAGACACCAATTGTCAATTTTTATCTTTTTATCTTTCCTCTACAATTTTAGCCATAGTCGTAGTTCTGGAGCTCCCACGAAACCTCCATAGGAGTAGGGCTAAGTTAATGTAGATATGTCTTGTGCTTATAAAAACATTGAACACCCTTATTTGAACTTTGTTCAAAGAGGTGTGAACTGTGTTTGTTCAATCGTTTGTTTGGAAGTTGAAGGTGCATTCAATTCTGTTCCATCTAGATTTTCTTGCCGGGAAAACAGTTTCCCAAAAGTTTCTATCCATATTATAGTTTCACAAGGATCACATCCTCAATGGCGGTTAAAACGAGGAACACAAGGGTGATGCCGTTTCAGTTTCTGCCGCCTACAGACCGCATGGGGTCGCTGCGGTCAGGTTGACCGTGCGCCACCTCAACGTTCTCGGCCAAACCGTGGCTCCCACGCACGGTTTGCATTTCAAATACGGAAACTGTCGCATCCCTCCATAGTCCGATGCCTATAAGTTTTTCTTCCTGATGAAAGCGTTGTAGTCCTAACCTACGCTGAAACTTCAAACGAACGAAACTCTGTGCTCGTTTATCCGATTGTAGCGAATTTTTTTTATTCAGCGTTAGTTTTTGAGTCTCGCAAGGCGCCAACAATCGATGCGGTTTGGTCACGCCTTCATACCGTAAAAATGTTTTTTGCTACCCCGACTGAGCAATTTTTTTTATTTCGTCGAACTTTGGATGACCATAACTTTTTTATTCCGCATAAATTTTTAAGGAGTGTAACTAGGAATGAATTTTCAAAACAAGAAATCTTTTTGGATATAAGGGGTTTTGGGAATAATTTTGGCTTTACTTTACAAAAATCCACATACTTTATGAAATTATGGCTATGATAAAGTTGTATTCCTTAAAAAGTTATACGAAATCAAAAAAAGGTTTGTGATGTTCGGATTGTGGAGCACAAAGTTATGGTCATCCAAAGTTTGGAGAAATAAAAAAATTGCTCGGTGGGGTAGCGAACAGCTTTTTTTGGGATGAAGTTTTGCGGCTTGTGAGATATGGAAAAAATATGCGGAAAAAAATTGCTACGATCGATAACCGAGCACATAATCACATCCATTTTAAGTTCCAACCTAGGTTAGGCCTACATCGCTTTCATCGACTTTGTTGGTTTGCTCAAGAATGTCTAACTTAAACGCCAAATGAAAATAACTTATAGACATTAATCGAGGGAAAAAACACTTATAGGCAGTGGACCGTGGTGTGTGTGTGGGGGGGGGGGGGGGAGGTGGCCAGTGGCGGATCTAGAAATTTTTAACAGGGATGTCCTCTTCAAAAAAATAAAAATAAAATAAAATAAATAATTCATAAATAAAAAATATCAGACTAGTACAAATTTTAACATAAGGCCACGACGTGTTTTTATATTCCGAAAACGAATAACAAATAGAATTGGCAAATTGCTCAACAAATCTGTATATCCTACTAGACAATAGAACAACAAATGAGTTGCAACTTAATGGAGGACAATGTTTAAAAAATATAGTATATCCTAAGTTTGAATAACACAGACTATCTCTTATTTTTTTTTAAGTATACGCAAACTACTACTGAGGATAGGATTATCGCTGTACGGGTGTCCCGAATCACTAATTATAATTTTTTATCCATACAAAACTATTACCGGGGGTTGAATAATCGTATTTCCAAATTTTAGGGGTGTCCCGGGACACCCCTAAACCCTCATGTATCCGCCCCTGGGGGTGGCGGTGTCCGCATTTGAAATACAAACCACTCTGGAGGCCTGCCGTTCTGTCTATGTTAGCCATAGAACCGATGTTACCCTTGCAGTTATTTCACAAAAATGAAAACCACAGCACCCCCTGCTGTCCTATTATAAACCGTTATGATGCGGTCCTTGTGAAATTGTGGTATGGATGGAATTTTTGGAAAAGAGTGATATTTTTAGAATTTTTTAATTTTTTGTTGATATATTTGGGGGAAAATCTCATAGATCTCTTTATAAACAGGCCGCAAGCTTTGCAATGCAATTCGATTTTATCACAAATGCAGTTTGGTGTTATTTAATGTGGTCGAATGACATAGAGTCCCACCCCATCCTCATGTAAGTATTATCAAATTTTATTTATCATGTTTTCTCCTTATTCGTGACTTATAAAGTCGTTCATCCTATTTCTTAACAAAAGATAATCATATATATTGATTAGATTAAAAGATCATTACATTCTGGAATTCAGCCATGCCAGAAAATCAAAGGATCGACATGTAGTCGGGTACAAAGAGAGGGCATTTCTAGCCACCAAATGGGCTACCTTATTGCTACTCTAACCTACAAAACAAACATTAAGAGCTGAATGATTCGAAACTATTCGGATGACTTCCTCAAGGATGACCCCTAACCGATTGTCCCTAGAGTCCCGCCGGTTGATTTCATCAATGATCACATTAACGTCACCTTGGAAGCTTGTCTCTATAAACCCCAACTCCAGACACCAACGCACACCCTCCTAAAGAGTAAGCAACTCTGCCGCCATCAGATCATCATTATCTGGAAAACTGCACCCTTCGAGCTAGAAGGATCCTTCCCGCTGGGCCAAAGATAATTATTCCACCGGCCGAGTGAGACCCATTTTTAGTAGTCCCATCCTACATACAAGGGGATGGAGCACTGGTTATTGGCGTCCCTTGCCCCGGACTGAGGGATAAGTAAGTGCGGGCTCCGGACAATCGACAAACTGGTCCACTCTTGCTATTGCTGATTAAACTCTCTTATTAAGGCTTGTATCCCATATCGTTTACCCTCAAAGACAAACCAATTACGAGCTCGCCATATACGCCACAGGATTGCCACCACTGTCATAACCACTTGAGGTTGAAGTAATAAATACATCAACATTTTAAGGAAAAGCGGAAAGGTGTGACGTGGCAACCCTTGGCCAAGATCTTCAAGGCCAGCATGCTCCCAAAGAGCCCTAGCGACTGGGCAATCAAAAAACAAATGCCCCATTGTTTCCAGCTCAGCCAACACAGCGGACATCTCGAAAGCACCTGAATTTTCTTTACAATCAGAGCTTCTGTTGTTGGGAGGAGGCGGTGGAAGATTTGCCAAAAAAATACTTTAAGTTTTGGTAGTAGATTGACATTACACAAGCGGATCTAGCTCGGTCTATCCATCCAACAAGCCACAGACCTCCACCGGCCACCCTGCTTATCTAACAAGACTGCAAGGTGATATGTCGACTTAACCGTGAAAATCCAATCGCTTGTATCGTGCCAAATTAGTTTATCCACCACCTCATGACGAGGGAGAGGAATATCTTTCATGGCCTGACAGACGTCTAGGGGAAACCATTGGCTAAGACTCCGATCACACCACTTACCTTCCCCTTGACAAATTACAATGACGACCTTAGGATCGGCCCCCTCTGGGAGGACCTGGGGATTATAAACAGGACCAACCGGGTGGAGAAGCGGAACCCAACTCGAGGATAGAAGGGATGCAGACCGGCCATTACCAATTTGCCATCGGAGGCCTTGGACTAGCAGCTGGCGGTCATAGAGAATACTCTACCACCCCCAAGATGGCCTTGACTTGGCGGTAGTTGTGAGGAAAGTCTCTGAAGGGAGATACTTTCCTTTATAGACCTTCGCCAGTAGCGTCTCAGGCTCCGACATGATTGTCACTCAATCTTAGCTAATAGAGCCTTATTAAAATGCTCAAACCGACGAAAACCCATACCACCGTTGTGCTTACTGGTACACATGTTACACTTGGACATCCACCTTATCTGGGAGCAGCCCCCTTCCACACCCCAGCAGAATATGGCTACGTGACTATCCAAGACACGATACAGGGAGAGGGGAAGCTTAAATCAGGACATGATATGCAATGGGAGAGCTAAAGCGACTGATTTGATCAAGGTCTCTTTTGCTGCCCACGAGAGAATTCCCTGCTTCCAACCTTGAAGCCGACTCAACAATTTCTCCTCCAAGAAACGGAACGTAGCCATTTTTGATTGCACAATCAGCATGGGTAACCCCAGATACTTGTCCTGGACACCCACCGCCCTAAGCCCTAAAATTTCGGCAAGAAAATCCTGATTAGGCAGGGAAACATTTTTACTAAAGCAGACTGCCGATTTTGTGAGGTTCACCTTTTGACCACTGAGCTCCTCGTACTCATTTTGAACCTCTATCAAGTTCTTACACTCTTGTAAAGAACCTATGAGGAACAAATAGGAATCATCTGCAAAAAACATATGTGAAATCCGAGGCGCCCTAGGTCCAATGCAACCTTGACCCCCTCTAACTTTCCGCCAGCGATAGCTTGTCGGAGGAGCACCGCAAAGCCCTTCGTGCAAAGCACAAATAGGAGCGGAGATAGAGGGCCCCCTGCCAAAGACCACGAGACGGAGCGAAGAATCCCGAGGGTGTGCCATTCATAAGCACCGAAAAAGAGGCTGAGCGGAGGCATTCTTGGATCCGGCCACGCCAAGTCGAGTTAACCCTAATTTTCCAAAATCGCAAGTAGAAACAGGCATTCGACTCTATCATATGTCTTTTCTATGTCAACTTTCAGAGCCCTGTGCCCTTTCTTGCCCGAGAAGGACATTCTCCACAATGTGTCGTTCCCGGATAAATGCATTTTGCCCTTCCAAAACTATCGAGGGTAAATAGTTGGCTAACCTTTCAGACATGATTTTAGTTATAATCTTATACACAAACTGTCATAAGCTAATCGTTCATCCTCTACATTGGAGAAAGATATTCAAGCTTCTAGCTTGCAGTCATAATACTAAGATGTGTTGGATGGTGGAGATGAGAATTGTGGATCTCAAATCACAAGCTATGTTCTTCAATGAATGTTCATCTCTAATTGCTTCGGAGGTGGAGAAGTTCGCTCAATGGGGGAGACAACAAGAGATAGGAAGATAAGTCATATATGTTGACGAGGAGTAATTTTTATTATTTTTAATTTTTTAAAAATTGATAATTAAAGATTGATGTGATATAGATTAATTTGTTCTATGTCACAACATTCTTTCCAACTTTTCAAAGTAATCGTCATCTCAACATCATCTATCAAAAGGCTAGACCAACTTTCAACAATGAGCTATTTGTTGGTGTTTCAGAAGATTTCATTATAATTATGGAAAAAAAATGGTTTGACTATTAAATTGTATTATGATTCTAGTTGGTTTCATTTTTGCTAAGCAAATCCAACTAATGAATCTCATAAAATGTGATCCAATCCATTTATGAAATAGATAAAATGGCCCAATTTTGTATCTTAATAGATATTGAATTGGGCCAGATAATTCAACGAGTTAGCCCATTATCATTCTATCTATATAAGAGAAATGTATGACACTTCTCATTTCTCCCTCTCATTCTTCCCCAATCTCTTCCTCCTGCAGCGGCACCACTCTCCTTCCCCTTCCTCATTTCAGAGTGAAGGCTTGGGTAGCATGTTTGTTCGCTGAGAAGAACAGGTTGAAGCTGGGTAGCTATGTTTCTTCTCATTTTCCCCTTTCAACTCTTACATAGTTACATTGATCGAACTTGGTAATATTTTAATGAATGGATGGGCTTTTAGGGTTTTCCACTGGCGGTCACTGTTAGCATCTCTTCCCCCATTTTTTTATAATTTTCTGGGAGAAGTCAAATTTGTTTTGGTTTGATTGATATCGTTATTGGGATGGACCTACTTAAGGTTAACGGTTAAGTCAGAACTCATTAAGCGATAAACACACTAGGAAAACGGCACCAGTTTCTTCAGGTTAAGGTTAAAGTTAAGGGTAAAGCTAATTTCTTTTTACTACCTATAATTGATTCTGACGTTTGAGTGTCAAACATGGATGGAAAATGCAGTCGGCTGATGGAGTCGGTCACATTGTTGTCATACAGGAGAAACGGAGTAGGCAGAAAGTTAGGATCGTAGAGCAAGCAGGAAGAGAAAGGTGCCTTCTTGTGTTGTGTTGTGCTTGCTCCATTGTTACTAATGAGTTCCTCAAAAGAACGAGCCAAAAAGGCATTGAAAGCCATGAGTGCGATCGGTTTATCTGCTGACGAAGTGAAACCAGTGCTGTTACAGTTGCTCAAGGCATCTGAAAAAAACTGGGATTATATCGAAGCTGACAATTACCAAGTGCTTGTGCAAACATTTTGGGAGCTTCAGGAAGCGAAGGTCGCCATGGGTTTTTTTTCATTTTTGCTTTGTTTGTTATAATATAATAATAACAAGGTTTCTTGTCGCCAGCATCCAAGCTTAGCCTCATAGTTCAATATGTTCGTGTTTTGTTTATGTTTTCTTGTTTGGTACTTACCCAGTTAGCTGAAGACGAGAAAAAAGGTAACAAGGACGATTTTCTGCTTGGAAAGCGTCCCCGGATGGAAGCGATTGAGCTGTACGAAGACCAAGCTTCTTGTGATGTTGAGGTTTTCAGTGAAAGCCTTGGTTTTGCACAAGATCCTTACACACCGATGAACGATATCGCCTCTGGAACCAGAGAGTCTTCACAAGTGCAAGGCGGGTCTTCTGCCACACCTACTGTGATGGTCCAGACGGTTACTGGTAACAACTCTCTCTACCCCATTTTATTTTCAGTTCCTTCCTACGATACTTCTGCAACTATGATATCTGCTTCTTCATAGTTCCCATTCCCATTGTTGCTTCAACTTTCAACAGTCACCTTTGAAGCAATCGTTTTTAACAGCAAGGGAATGATATAGAACATATACTTATAGTTCATTTCCCAACAACTTGAGTTATTGGGTTGTACAAGTTTACGACATAAAATTGGTATCTTTTGATTGAGAACTCTCACGTTTAGATCCTCATCCTTGTCCAATATACACATCTGAGTCTATGCACACAAGGTATGGTGGGCTTGTAAAATGTTCAAGCCCCTATGAGTTGAATTCCATTTTGGTGGGGATGCATGAGAATGGTATAAGACTCGGTCTTGAGCTATTTAAACAATTTGAGTTATTGGGATGAACTGATTCTCAATACTAACTAGTAGAAAAATGTTCAATGGATTGTTTGGTAGATGAAAATGACAATGATGGTCTTCAAAGGATATATCAACACTTCATGGGTGACATAACAAAAGGAGTTGAAAGGATCAGCATTTCATTAGTGGACGAGTATGGGGGCGAGGAGCTTCCCAATTTCGTTTACATTCGTAAGAGCATAGTATATCAAAGTGCATGCTTACAAATATCTCTAGCTAGAATATCTGATGCTGATTGCTGCTCAAGTTGCTTGGATGATTGTGTTGCACAACAACTACCTTGTGCATGTGCTTGTGAAACTGGTGGAAGCTTTGCTTACACGGTAGAGGGCCGGCTGAATGACAAGTTTCTTGAAGATTGTCTGTCCATGAAAGCCAACCCTCAACAGCATCATTTGTTCTTTTGCCAAGACTGTCCACTTGAGAGAGCCAAGAATGAGCATTTTCCTGCAAAATGCAACGGTCATTTGATCAGAAAGTTTATCAAAGAGTGTTGGGTCAAATGTGGATGTGCTGAGGGCTGTGGGAATCGAGTTGTGCAACGGGGCATCAATTGCAATTTGCAGGTCAGTTTCTCCTCCAAAATGTCTAGGCAGAGCTCTTTCGTCAGCTGCTTGCTTCTCCATTGAGTGTTTCTGAAAACTGTTAACTATTAAAGGTTGCAATTCTATGGACTAAGCCTAATTTCATGAATGTGGGCATTTCGTCTTTCATGATTGTGGGCATTTCGTCTTGCCTGCCATGCACCTGCAACCAAGTTCTGCAAGTTGAACAAATTATCGCTTTATTGAAGTCAGATGATTTCTATGACAGCTTAAAGCTGGTATCCAGTTTTTCATGCAAGTCGATTCCATAGCTGTCTGTGTCTTGAAGCTGTGCATTTAATTGTAACTTGTGTGCTATGAATGTTACAGGTCTTTATGACACATGCAGGCAAAGGTTGGGGGGTCAGAGCTCTCCAGGACTTGCCTAGGGGAACCTTTGTCTGTGAATATGCTGGGGAGATATTGACGAACACCGAGTTATATGAGCGGAATATGACTGCTGGAGGCAAGGGAAGGCACACTTATCCTGTTACTCTTGATGCTGACTGGGGTTCCGAGAAAACTCTTAAGGACGAGGAAGCACTTTGCTTGGATGCTACCTACTATGGCAACGTAGCCAGGTTCATTAACCACAGGTAGTGCTGCTATTTTCTTGAGTCATTTAAACATGTTACAATAAAAAAGGGTGTTTGTTTTACCGTTCGATCCAACTTATTTTAAAATGGGTTTCATGTTTAGCCAAAACTACTACACCTTAGTTGTTCTCTGTTTTCTGCTTTCTTGTAATACAGATGCTATGATGCAAACTTAACTGACATTCCTGTTCAAGTGGAGACCCCTGACCGACATTATTACCATGTATGTAACGCATTTGCGGATCTTTTCTTAATCTGTTTTGTGTCCCAATAGTTTTGGAGAGTCAGAAGCCCAATCTTAAAAAGACTTGCCTTTCTGATTGTTACTGCAGCTTGCTCTTTTCACTGTAAGAGACGTGAAGGCTCAGGAGGAATTGACTTGGGTAAGAAACATTATTTTAGTGCTTCTAAGGTGCCTGTTTCTATGCACAAGGAAAAGTTATAATATTATGCTGAAAAAAACAGACATTTGTCAAGAACTACTCATCCTAATAACTGGTGTTGGAAAAGGTCGAAGTTTGAATCTTATGTTCATGTGCATTATTTTATGAGTGCAATATAACTTTTTGCAGGATTATGGAATTGACTTTGCGGATGATGATCATCCAGTAAAGGCATTCAAGTGTCGTTGTGGAAGCAGATTTTGTCGAGACAACAAGAAGCTGAAAAGGTTAGTCATATGTCATGTCACTGTTGTTCTTAGCACAATCACTTTGAGATTTGTTTCGGAAGGAGTTGGAATTTTTATTGGTGACTGTTACTTGCCAATGCCATTTATCTTTAGAATACGTCATTTAAGTGAAGTTAACAGACTCCAACCTATGCAGGAAGTTGGTTGTGGTACTTGACGATTGATGAATGATTCAAGGAAAGAGAAGAAACCTAAATGGGAGTTTTTGGTCATTTTTATCTTTCAATAAGTGTAAATGGGTCAGGAAGAAAGAGTAAAAAAGGGCCTTTGAACATTTTGGAGGTTTCTTCAGGTACAAGCTTTGGTTGGCAGAAGATCTGCAGAAGCATATGCTATGTAATGAATTAATGATGAACATTTCCACAAACTGTAGGTACTGTACAGGCACAGACTCACTTTTGGCAAGAAAAAAAAGATGAACAAGCTCAGTTTAGAGATGGAAAGAATGCATTATGAGTTTGTATTTGATCTTAGACGTAATGGGTGCTTATCTATTCTATGCTTAAGCTTTGACTACCAAAATACATATTCCTTGTTTTCCTTTTCATTATGCGTCCTACTATGTATAATAACGATAAAGGTACCAATACAATTGAACTCTAGGCTCATTAAATTATCATCAACAATCATAAATGTTTACTGTCTTTGGTATTAGAGTAGGTAAGACATGGTAGAACTGGCAGGGAATTTTTATTTTATTCAGTGATCGAAGGTGGTAACGTCAACCGAAACTGAAATAGGGTGTATAATAAGATTTGAACTTTGTTTAAACGTTGGAAGTTATCGTTTGGAAGTTTGCAAGGTAGTGTAGAAATTTTTTCTTAGTACAAGAAAGCATTGTTACAATTGACTAACAAATGGGGATGTAGCTCAAATGGTAGAGCGCCCGCTTTGCATGCGGGAGGTACAGGGTTCGATCCCCTGCATCTCCATAGTTTCAATCTTTTTAATTTTTTCTTGCATTTACATTTTCTTACAACTCAAATATTCCAAAATTTTTTTATTTCTTTCTTGCTTTTACATTTTCTTACAGCCCTAAGTGAGAGCAGACTACTCCTTTTGCAAATTACAAGTGTCCCCCCCACAGTAACGAAAGCTCATGTGTAATTGACCCGACAATATTGTACCAAAGAGGATGTCCATGGTTGATGGATAAGAGAACTAGACAACTCTCAAAGGTTCACCTAATTGAGAGAAGATTATTGCTTTTGCAAATTGCAAGTGCCTCCCCCATAGTAATGAAATCTCATTTGCTAATACTTTTTACAACTCTAGTATTCCAATTTTTTATTTTCTTTCTTGCTTTTACATTTTCTTACAGCCCTAAGTGAGAGCAGACTACTGCTTTTGCAAATTACAAATGTCCCCCCACAGTAACGAAAGCTCATATGTAAATGTTTTTTACCTTGCCCCGACAATATTGTACCAAAATTAGGAGGATGTTCATGGTTATGGTGGTCGCCAATAATGGATAAGAGAACCAAGCAACTCTCAAAGGTTCACCTAATTGAGAGAAGATTATTGCTTTTGCAAATTGCAAGTGCCTCCCCCATAGTAATGAAATCTCATTTGCAAATACTTTTTAACTTGCCACAGACAATATTGTACCAAATTAAGAGGATGATCATGGTTACGGTGGTCGTCAATGATGGAGAAGAGAACCAGACAACTCTCAAAGGTTCGCCTAATCGAGAGAAGACTATTGCTTTGCAAAATTGCAAGTGCCTACCCCATAGTAATGTTGAATCGTTATTCGCCGCCCTAAAATTCAAAATAAATCGCCCTAAACCACACTAAGTTGACACATATACCCCTAACTTCAAACCTAAAATAAACCGACTGAATAAATCGACCATATAATTGTTGCCGCCAGCATCGCTCCCCGCCGCTGCTATTCGTCGTTGATGTCGACCTGGAGGAAGGGTAGTGAAGAAGAAGAAAGGCGGCCATTGAATCCGCCGCAAAAGGAAGAAGATGACATAGCGCTGCAGAATAAAGGATTAGGAAGGAAGGAATTTATCATTACAATGTGTATGGCCTACAATTGAGTGGCCCTTGTTGTTTTCGTCTCTGTTCCGATAGCTTCCATGTAAATCAGATTTATGCTTGTGTTTTCTTTTGGATGAGTTGAGGGTACTTTAGGTCCAATGTGGTTAAGGATGATCATCATCGATGTAACAGAGAAAAATTTGGACAGACAGATGATGATTAAAAAGGATTAAAAGAGATTATGCTTACTCAACGTAAATCAAGACAACAATTAAGGAGATTATAAAATGAATGGCTATTCGTCGTGACGAGTGGATGTGTTTGCTTTAGGGTTTAAGTATTTGAAAGACCGAAAAATAAAATAAGGGCATTAAAGTAATTTTAACATAATTAGGGCGACGAATAAAGATTTTTAGGGCGACGAATAGCAATCCCCTAGTAATGAAATCTAATTTGCAAATACTTTTGAACTTGCCGCAACAATATTGAACCAAATTAGGAGGATGATCATGGTTACGGTGGTCGTCAGTGATGGGGAAGAGAGGCAGACAGCTGTCAAAGGTGCACCTAATTCAGAGAAGACTACCGATTTTGAAAATTGCAAATGTCCCCCCCCCCCCCACACACACACACACATTAATGAAATCTCATTTGTAAAAACTTTTTACCTTGTCACATTAATATTGTACCAAATTAGAGGATGACCATGATTACGGTGGTCACCAATGATGGAGAAGAGAACTGGCAACTGTCAATTGTGCACCTAATTTAGAAAAGACTACCGCTTTAGCAAATTGCAAGTGTCCCCCCACATTAATGAAATCTCATTTGTAAATAATTTTTACCTTACCATGAAAATATTGTACCAAATTAGGAGGATGATCATGGTGACAGTGGTCTCCAATGAATGTTGGAGACGAGAACTGGGCAGCTCTCAAAGGTGCACCTTGTCAAATAACCTGCTCAAGGTTTGAGTCTGTGATGAAGCAAAGCAACAACAGGGAGTTGCAGAAATGAGAGGAAAAGAAATTTGCTGCTGAAGAAGACACTGGACTGGACATAAACCAACCCGATTAGACCGATACAAGCATTGGGAAAACAACATCGTTGTGATTATTAGTTGTACACAACTCTACAAATCTTTAGTTCAACTGTTAGATTTTGATTGGTTACCTTGTATTTTATCTTGTAACTTAGCTCTTAGAGTTATGCCTTGGCTCTTAGAGTTATACCTTGTATCGAGAAATAAATGCTATTATACTAGGGTTACAAAACAAAATTCCTACGCTACATCACTTTGCAAAATATTTGGGGTTTGGGGCTGTTCACTGGTAGTCAAGTGAGCAACACGATGGTTCCCATAACAGGAAGGCGATCCATGATTTGTTATGTTGATTGTGACATGGGTTACATTAGGCATTAAATGTAGGTTGAATGTGAATTAGAGTTTTGGATTAATGCTTGGTTGTTATGTTTAGATTTAGTTATATATGTTGTTATATTTCAGGTATGTTACATTGGTTCATTGATATGAGTTTTAGATGGTGTACCATGGTCAAGATATGAGGCTAGTATTGCACTTGGTACTTCGACTGAATCTGATGGACAAGAATGTCCAGTATGGTGTAAACATTGACCGACATAAGAGCATCCAAACAAGAATCAATCATGAATGATGATCCCTGTATGGACAACCCAAGTCCTCCCTACACAAGTGAGACAAGTGACATGACACCTTCCTACACAATGGTGCCACAAAGTCCATTTTATGTTGACAATGACGATCTGCCCTATTGTACCCATTTAGAATCCAAATATATGGTTCGTGGTTGGGCAAACATTTTGAGGAAAGCAACATGTTGTGGATGTGCTGAAAGAATATGCAATGCAAAACAGCTTCTAATATGGTGCCATTTTGAACACTAAACACATTCATGCTCGATGTAGTTGAATCAGAGAACAACTCCAATTGGTCATGGTTTTTCCTCCAACTATACACTCGTATCACTCGGACGGACATTGTCATCCTTTTTGATTTTCACCAAGGCATTGCCCATGCAATATACAATTTGTCATCCTTTAAAATGTTAAATGTTACATCTCACAGAAGATAACAACAGCCAATAAGCCATGCTTCCATGGGGGTATAGGTCTAACTTGTGTAAGGTGACTTTATTCAGTCGGAGAGATGGCCTCTTCGAAGTAGAAATAAGAAGGTCAGGCGGTACCACAAAAGGAGGCAATGCTCAAATGGTCATAATTGATGCAATGAATGGAAAAGGGGAATGCACTTGCAGGAAGTTCCAACGGAGACATTTTCCTTCCTCTCATGTTTATGTCACTACCATAAGCATTCACATCGACCTGTTGTCATTTGGTAGTCCATACTACACGACTCAAAGTGTCATCAAAGTTTGGAAAGGGGCGATTGTGTCTTTAGCTCATAAAGCTTATTGGCTCGAATATGATGGGCTAGTACTCTTTCCTCCCGAGCACAGAAAGCATACCAAAGGCTGACCTAGAGTAAACAAGATTCAAAATGAGATGGATAGACCATAAAGATCTCAACATCTGAAGCGGTGTTCTGCATGTCGAGTTATAGGACATGCATCATTTCCCAGGATGAGCAAAACAAAATTGATAATTATGTTGTTTTTCCACCGATGTGTTGTTGTTTCATTGGGAATATGTGTTTGATTCACCAGGATGTTGTTATTTTATCAGGAATAATTTTTATGACTATGTTATGATCTTCCTAGACAAGCACTTATAGTTTGGAGTAACATTAGACAAATATTGTAGCAAATTGGTATTTTTAAATAGAGAAAATGAGCAACTACAGGAAATAAACATAAAAACTCTAGAAAATACAAGAATATCTAAAATCCCTCATCTCCCTCAATATCGACCTCTCCTTGTGCACCACTTTCTTATCCATCTCCTTGGTTGATTCTACCTGTTACAAATTTGATATGAAACCGGAGTCACATATTGGTGGGGAAGTAGATATGGTGTTGTAGTGTACGGAGAAGGATTGTAGATATTGCTCATCGGTTGTTGGAAGCTTGGCTGCTGGATTGTAGATATTGCTCATCGAATGTTGGGGGGATACAATCGAAGAAACACCCAATCTTTGACTACAGACTCCTCTCCTGTCTGCCTGAATCTGCTAACTTTTTCATCTGATTGTTTGCTGTAGTCAATTTGGTCTTCAGCTTCTCCATAGTTGCATCCCGATTAGCCAACAATCGATCCATGACATCAACCGTATTGTAGCTCGGCTAGTAACTTAAGATATTCAGAGGGAAGCGCCCACAAATCGCATCGAATGGACTCCTCTAAATCCACTTATGATACTTGGTGTTGTAGCACAATTCTTCCCACGATAACATCGCTAGCCGGCTGCGCGACAACTTATTTGCGAAACACCACAAGTACTACTCTAGTTGTCGGTTGATCATTTTTGTCTGCCCATATGCCTACAGATGATAAGCAGAATCATTCTCAGTTTTGTCTTAGTATAACTAAACACCTCCTAAAGAACCACCCTAAGAATAATGCATTAAAATCATGGGAAATAAAGTTGGGAAACCAATGGTGTCTGATGACCCCCCAATCAAACTGTTATGCCACCATCTAGACTGTGTAGGGATGCGATAGAGTAAGGAAGTGTGCAAATTTGGTGAGTTTTTACACCACCACTAACAACACCATTTTGCCTCACGAAGTTAGCATCCCCACTGTGAAATCCGTACTGATATCCTCTCGTACCCGCTCAAGAACAGGCTGGAGGACACCTTCTCTTCACAACAAGGATGTCTTGACACGTTGACAAGTGTCACAGGAAGCTACATATGACTTCACTTAAGACTTCATTCCGGGCCAGTAGAACTATCCCCCAAATCCTCCTCAGAGTCCTCTCATGTTTGGAGGGCCCCCCACTAGCGAATCATGGTAATCTCGCATCATGGTCGTAATAAGATCTTGCAGGAAACATAATCTATCCCCGGTAAAACACCAACACATGTCAAGTGTAAACTCTCCCGACAATTCATTGATAGCCCTATCTTTGCATTCCTGCAGGTTAAAATTGGTCTCCATAGCTCGCCGCACCTCGTGGCATACAATGCTGTCAAAATCGTAATTCTGTGTAGAAGCCTTTTGGTGACCTAGAAGCGTAAAAATGTAAGCTTTAAAGCATATTGTAAGTGAAAAGCTCAATTCTACGCATATGTTTTTTGGTGACCTAAAAGTGTAAATGTTTAAACTTTTAAGTTTTAGAGCATGCTTTTGACTACATTTGTTCCATAATTAAACAAATGGTCTTGGTATTGTGGTTAAGATCTCCCCTGCGTCGCTCCAAGATAAGGCATTTGCGGGCTTGTTAGTCGGGTATGACTTGTACTGCAACTCATAGCAATAACCCAACAGCTTTACCAAGCACTGGTGATTTCTATATACTCAAAATTTCTTCCCCAATAAGTATGATTTCCATGTATGGATGACAATGATAATGGCAAGCATCTCCTTATGATTGGTAGACCACACCTCTTTCGATGGAGTCAGTGTCCTACTCATAAAGCTATAAGGTTCCCTTACTGAGATAACACCGCCTCGATACCCATCTCGTAAGCGTCGACCTCGATATCAAAGGGATGGGGGAAGTTCAGCTATGCTAAAGTCAGAGTGGTAGTCATGGAAGCCTTCAGTGTCAGGAATGCCTCATTCACCCTTGGGTTCCATCCAAACCCACCCTTGTTTCAACAACTCAATTAGGGGTCGAGCAATGAAGTTGTAGTTCTGCACAAATTTCCTAAACTACCTAGTAAAACTCGAGAACCCATGTAACTCAATCATTGTTTTCAGTGTAGAGCCATAGACTAATTCAACATAGCCTGGATCTTCACCAAATCAGCCTTCACTCTCTGGTAGGATATGATGTATCTTAGATAGTCTACCTCCACCACCCCTAATGCACACTTCAACGACTTCACATAATTGGTTCACTCTTAAAATCGCGATGACCTGCTATAACTGATGCGAATGCTCCTCCCACGATGAACTATAAACTAGTATGTCATCGAAGAACACCAATACAGACTTGCAAAGTATAGGCCAGAAAATATCATTCATAGTGGTCTGGAATTGCGAAGGGGCATTGCACAACCCAAAAGGCATAATGAAGTACTCATAGTGCCCATTGTGAGTGTGGAAGGTTGCCTTAAGAAAGTCGTCCTCGTGCATGCAGATCTGATGGTATCCGGCCCTCAATTCAAGCTTGGAGAAGACTTGAGCACCCAACGGATCATCTAACATATCCTCTACTGTTGAGATCGAAAATGGTCCTTTGTTATACATTCGTTCAATGCCCAATAGCTTGTTTCGAAATCCCAAGTTGCATCTTTTTTATTAACCAACAACATTGGTGAAGAGAAGGGACTAGAACTCGACCTAATCAGTCATGTCTCCAACATCTCATCGACCTGTTGCTCGATCTCCATCATCAATGAATGGACATATCGATACCGCTTCACATCAGCCGTGTCAGTTGCTTCCTTCAATATGATGCAGTGATCCACTTGCTGGGCTAGAGGTAGATTCTCAGGTTTCTTAAACAAGTCGACATATTGGTCCATTAGATCTTGCAAGCTCGGATCAAGCTCCCGACATGTGGTTGCCTCAATTGGTTAGTAAAGCACCGTGACTATAGCTCCCTCGGCCAACTTCAGCTCCTCCCAACTTACCGGACACGAAGTTGTGGTCAATCCCTTCAATTCCCATTCCTTATCCGTCCATTTAAACCTCATAATCATTCTTTCCCCCAATCACTTGTGTCTGGTCCTAGAATTCTTAACGACTGAGAGTTCCTAAAATCGCATCAAACCCTTTTATTGTAACAACAACACATATAAACCCGTAGTTATATTGTCGCCACTATCGACTAGAAAACTATTCCATTGTTGCTCGGAATCACATCGTTCTTAGTGGAGCAACCCCAAGCATGTTGTCGACTGAAACAACCACTACCTCTTTCTCAGCGCGGTCGCTCTTTGCCTGCAATCGCAATGGCCCACTAGCCATTTCCTCTTTTTTTCCGCGTCACTGCATAGCTGCCTGGCTGCCCGACTGCATGCACTACTTGTGCCAGTCCTTCCACTCCTTGATCCAAGTCACTTTGGGCTCTAATGAAATCTGCTCGCATCCTTCGCACATAGTCCTCGATTGAGAGTCTTGATGAACTCACCCTCACAACCAAGCTCTGATACCATTAATAGAAACCTTGATAATTGGGGAAGATTTGAGTAAATTTGGGAAAGATATTAGGGTTAAGGATTAAGAATTGGAGTGGAATTTGGGGAAGAATAGAAAGGACATAGAGATACGAGATTATGAATTTCAGTTATATTTTTTTGCTTAATATGAGGAATAGCATCTCCCATGTTTGAATAAGAACATACAAATAATGACTAGGGCATACCCCTCCTCTAAACCGACAAGTCTGCCCTCCCACTCGGCAGGTTTCTATCCCTTAAGGTTTTGGCAGAGGTTTATGTATAGATATTAACTACTTTCTTACTGTATGAACTCGGTACCAGATTCCTTCCGGTACGACCATTGCGAAGAGAGGAGGCGAGTGAGGAAGTTCTAGAGACAGATACCAACAAAGGATCGCGATTGTAGGCCGGAATGAAAATCGGCATTGGGAGAGCTGAGAGTCAAGAAACCCAAAATAATTTAGGTAAATGGCACAATTGATAACAAATAAAGAAATAGTTTAGAGAAATGACAAATTTGGTCAATGAAATTACTAAATTATTTCACGTTTGTCGCTACAAATATTTTATATAATTTGTGGTAACTGAAATTAGTTCAACAGTCCAAGTTTGATCACTTGGCGTTAGCTTCCATCACTCTTCGTTAACGATATTTTTTTGCTGATGTGGCTAACAAAATGCCCAATAAGCCAATTTTATCCAGAAAAAATTAAAAACCGACCTGTCACGTCATTAAAACCCACCACATAGGATAAACCATCCCAAATCGATCCTCCCTCGGGGCCCAAAAATGCTTGTAGATTGTGGGGAGCAAATCCGGTGAGTAACCTTGTGGTGAGTAACCATGAGTAACCCGTCCACATCAGCATGATATCAGCATCCTCTTTCTCCTGGAAAGCCTTTAATTTTCCCCTCTTTAATCTTTGACGGACGATTTCTCACTCATTTTAAGTCGAAATTTAATTTTTTTGTACAGTTAGATCAGATTAATTGTGCTCTTCAAAATGATATCCACTTTAATATATTTTTCGAACAAAAAAAATTGAGCCATTTTTTACCAGTCTATACCATATGGTATTGACTAGTATTGAAATAAAAGCATACCTATGGTTTGAAAAACGTACCATGGTGGTATGAACGAACCAAGACTGTAGGATGGTTGAATACATGATAGTAGAAATTTATTAATTGTCATTTACGAGTTTTAACATTGTATACCACAAGATACCACCTCGTACCAAGGTGGTATTGTATGGTATTGTGTGGTATTGTTTAGTCCTGTAATTTCTTCACCCATAAATTTGTAGATCCAATATATCATAATGAACTCGTCCCTTCTGTGCAAACGTTTTAAAAAACGAATTAAAAACGAAGAAGATACCATACAATACCACCCCGTACCAGGGTGGTATTGTATGGTATTGTGTGGTATTTTTTGGTCCTGTAATTTGTTCACCCAGAAATTTGTAGATCCAATATATCATGATGAAATCGTCCCTTCTGTGTAAACATTTTCAAAAACGAATTAAAAATGAAGAAAATACCATATGGTATGCAGTTGGTACCGAGAGGCCAGAATTTTTTGTTCTAAAAAAATATTGAAAATTGATATCATTTTGTAGAGCACGATAAACTCGTTCCACCTGTGCAAAAAAAATTAAAATACGAGTTAAAACGAAAAAGATATGAGTCGATTAAGAAACTAGAGAAAATAAAAATAATCTTTAATTCTCTATCCTTATATCTGGATTTTCTAAATGAAGGGTCCAGATTTGGTTATTGATGGATGCATAACCCATGGTTATGCACCCTATCTTGAGATTGTGGGGATTTCGAGCAGACTGTTGTGGAAGGCAGGAGGGTTTTGATTGTGAGGTAAGTTTTTTTTTCCAGTCCGGTCAAATAAATGAAAAAGAGAAAGGATCGGGTTGGGGTATTTTGTTGCCGGTTTCAATAATGTGACGAGCCGAATTTTACTTTTTATATCAAAATTGATTGTTTAGAAACTTCTGTTAACCAGCTTCAATGTAGTCAAAATCCTGGTTTTAATCTTAAAATCTTACGATTTTACGATCTTACCTATGGGTTCCGATCCCGGTTTTACTGTAAAATCTTTGAACCTTAAATTCCCATAAAATCCCGATTTAAAACTCTAAAATCCATAAAATCTACGATTTCTACGATTTTGTACGATTTCAAGGTTCATATCAATTGGATCAAAATTAGGCCGGTCAAGTTGGGTTTTGCCCATGAACCAAGTCAAATTTACTTTCCCCAACCCAACATAATGAACAACACAACCCCAACCTGATAGTTAACCCTCAATTTATTTTCATCCTCTTCCTCGTATCTTCCTCTTTCGCACGTCGGCGCCCAACTCCTTCCATCAACGATATCTTCCACCCTCCCAATTAGCTTGTAGTTTGTTCCCACCACCCTCACAATAATCCAAATCTCCATTAAATTGCAAGCATTTGTTCATCTCTCAATCCTTCAACACCACTAACCCGACCTTTTATCAATTATGAAGGGAATGTATCAATCATTGAGTTATCTTTTCCAGATGATGGTAATCAAGGAAATATACTTCAAGTGATCATAAGAGTAATGATATTAGTACTTAAACAAATAAAAACGATGAGAGTGAGGGTGAGGTTAAGGATGATGACGATGACGTGTTAGTGATGTTAATGTTGATCCTAACGATCTTATGTGATTTTCTACTCTTAATAATTAATTAACAGTGATATCTATAATGTTTCATGTTTCTTATTTGTGTGTTTCTATTATGTACAAGAAAAATATATGGATTAGTTGTGTTTGTTTAGCAAACAAACTTATCTTGGGAAGTAATTAAGATTTATGTGGTTGATTGTTATTCATGATATGCATTTTTATTACTATCTAGTGTTTTAAGTATTTATTTTAATATGAACCTTAAAATCTTACGATTTTAATCTACGATTTCGATTCTACCTCAGTTTTCGATTTTACTTAAAATCTAGATTTTGACTGCATTGACCACCTTAACAAAAAAAAAAATTAATGTCATTAATTGGAACTAACGAAAGAAATAATTAATGACCAAACTTGAACCGTTGATTTCAATCACGAGAAATTGAATAAAATATTTTTAATAACAAATAATTTCCTCTTCGAATAATTAGTCCAACCCAGGATTCATTGGCCATAATGTACAATCTGCCCAATAATTTAGGTAAGAGCTTAAAATAGAACAAAATAGGACAAGAGCACCCCAACCCAACAACAAGTGGATTGGAGTCGGGCAGCCAAACGAAACGAAGCAGCACCAAAAGAAACTGTCCACTACCACTACTAACACTTTGGGTCGGGACCCGCTCCTTTATTATTGCCCTTTGCCCAATATTTTATTCCCCCAACTCCCCACTTCAATCTCAGCCATCCAAATCGGTAACCAAGATCAAAATCGACGGTTAGACGAACCTGACACATGAAGCCAAATACGCATCCTCTCTCCTCCCCACTTACTTCTAGAGAGAGAAACATCAACAAACCAGAAAAAGAAAAAAAAAAAAAAAAAACTCCTTCCTCCATTCTTCTTCCTCTGCTCCCCGCCGTATCTCAACCCCATCTCTCCGTGTCGAATTAATATTCTTCTCCCTACGTGCGGCTTTTAGCCATCACCAAAAGAACCCCTCCGCACCACCCCCGCTCCTCCTCCGCCGCCGCCGTACTCTGCATCCAGAGATCAGAAGCCTTTTGTCTGTTTCCCTCGAGCACTGAATTTGAGGTGAGATGTCTTGTTGTCAATCTCGAGTTCAGATTTTTATGTGTGCCAAGTATGTCATCTGCGTGTCTTATTGTCGAGGATTTGATCGATTCTGAATTGGGTCTCACTTGATAAATTAATCCAATTGGAAAATTGATGATTGGGGCTCATCATTTTGTAACCATGGTGGTAGGGTGGAGTTGAACTCCCGATTTGATCGGATTAGCTTGAAATTTTGAAACTGTTGTTCTATCTCTATGTTCTATTAGGGTCTCCAAAGCAATCTGGATTTTGCTGCCCGTCAATTGTTTGGTCATGTCGTTAACTTTAACATGCACTAAGCCGATTCTGCTGCAGTGACTTCTGGTGTGGAACCTTGTGGTTATGTCGTCATCGTTCCCAATTCTTCATACTTCCATCGAAGACAAGTACCCCAAATCGCCAAACGCTTTCCAGATGCCTTCCGAGAGGGAGCTAATGAGAAACTCTCTACCTCAACAGACGTTTCCAATGGGTTCTGGTAGTGGGACAGTTGAGCAGTTTTTCTCCTCGTCATCTTCCAGATTCGTCACCGGCGAGATGTTTGTCACTTCAGTTTCTTCGCCTCTGGGAAAGCATTCCCGGAATTCGCCATTTATTTCCCAATCAGCAAGCGGCAGAGCAAGTTCACCGTCGTTGCTGTCATCCCATACTGAAGTACAATCCTCATCGTTGGGCAGTAGTCACTCTGAAGAGAGTAATACTAATAAGACAATTGCTTGTTGGCCCATGGACTCGATTTCGGACTTTCTCGATTTCCCGGAGAATGTCTCCATTCAAAATGTTTGTCAGGAGGAGACTACATGTGTTGTTGCGTCTGAAGATCCTACCAAGAGAACAACGGATTGGCAGTGGGCAGATCAGTGGATATCGGTTGATGATAATCTCAATACGGACTGGAATGAAATTCTTTCTGGAGTTGCTGCCACCGAGACTAAACAAAAGGTTTTTACTCTCATCCCGATCTGATTTGTTTTCCAAACATAAAAATGCTACCTTTCACGTAGACCATTCATCATATTTGGGCATGAGGATTTATTGAATTGATTCAAACGGTGGTCTTAGTGTTAACTGACTGCAGAATAACATTTGTAATGTCAACTGTGAAACGAGCTCATTTCTGGATTTCATGCATTCTAATTTTTCTTTGGGAAGTGAAAAAAATTGAAGTGGACTTGTTTGAAGTTGATCGTGGGACAAACATAAACCAGGACTTTCTCTCTAAAGCTAAGCTATTGTATCAGGCGCCGCAACAATCTTCTAGTAACTCGGTGCCAACTATCTCAGTTGAACAACCTCAAGTTAAGCACCAGCAAGCTGCGGTTAATGAAGTAATCTCTGTTGCTACCCCACTTTCCTCTGCACCAGTTGCAACCAAAGCCAGGATGAGATGGACACCAGAGCTTCATGAGGCTTTTGTGGAAGCAGTCAATCAGCTTGGTGGCAGTGAACGTGTGTCTTCAATCCTGAAAGGATATTTTATATATTTGAATGTTAGATCCTGAGTAAGCTGTTTGACTTATGTTGTTTTTACTAACAGGAGCTACTCCAAAGGGTGTCTTGAAGCTAATGAATGTTGAAGGGTTAACGATTTATCACGTGAAAAGCCACTTGCAGGTGCTTTAATGGCTTGCTTAACATTATCCGTTTTTATTTTATTTAAAATCTTTTTAAGCACTATAAATTCATTATCCAGTCACTGACGAGAATATTATAAATTTTCAGAAGTACAGGACAGCCAGATACAAACCAGAGCCAACTACTGAAGGTAACTCTAAATTGTCACATTTATTGTAGTTTGCATGCATCAGCTATTGTCCCTCACCCAGAGATTTGTATGTTTAATCTTCGCTGATACTTATTTTTTCCTGGTGAACTTTCCAGTTGAACAAGTATTGAAAGTTGATATTCACTTTTTTCCTTTCAGATGACTCAGAAAAAAAGTTGAGTTCTATTGACGAGATGAAATCCCTTGACTTGAAAACGTAAGTTTATCGGATCCCTGCGCCGTCTAAAGTAATCTTGATGCATTCTTTCACAATAGCGAATTCACCTTGATTGTGCTGGGAAAAACAGGAGCATAGGGATAACTGAAGCGTTAAGACTACAGATGGAAGTTCAGAAGCGATTACATGAACAGCTCGAGGTAATTATGCTTCATGGTGCTTATAGCTTGTATGCCAACATCATCAGGACCACGTTGGCTAGTGGAAAAAATAGTCAAAACGTCATTATGATTCCTTTTTCTGTCTGTGCTGATGGTTCTTTTTGACTACGCCAGATTCAGCGAAACTTACAGCTAAGAATCGAAGAACAAGGGAGGTATCTGCAGATGATGTTTGAGAAGCAAAAGATGGGAGAGGACAAAGCCAAGCTTCCTTCTTCTTCTACCCCAGCCAATGATCCAGCATCAATTGCAGTTCAGGCTTCTTCAGGCGATAAATTAGAAGCTGCCGATGTTGATAGACCAAAGATTCCAGAAAAAGAGACGAGCAATAAAAGTCTGCATGACGACCAAACTGGTGACAGTGAGTCCAGTCCGGTGCAGGGGAAACGAAAAAGGACGGACCAAACATCATCATCAGCATTAGTATAGTCTCAATATGTATTAGGGAGGCTGATGCGAATCCTTGAAGTTTTGGCAACTTCAGATTCTTGCTTCTTTAACGTTTGTTACAGAAGTGAATGTTTTAGCTGCTATACCATGATGATAATTGCTAATCGAATTCCCCGATTTATGATTCTTCTATTATCTCTGATCTGGGCTGGTTTGATGGGCATACTGTGGCTTAGTTAAGACTGATGGTAATGTATAAATTGTATAAATGTAGGACTGCTGCTTCGTTTGAAAGTTGGTTTAGTTTGATATGGCATTCTTGTACATATTCTTATCATGGAAACACTTGGCTCAAAGATGTCGATCACTTGTGTACAATCGGGTGGAATCACCTTCGGTGCAACCAATCCAAATTAAAATCACGTTTTAAACTTTAAAAATTATGTTTTCGCGCTTCCAAGTTATAAGAAAATTTCTATATGAAATAGCGTTTTTCACTTACGGATATAGTCAAAATCTATGTATTATTACTTTTCTTATTGTAAAAAAATCATTTAGACTTATGAAAAACACCATTTTCTATTATTTAGTTAGGATCCTCTTTTGAATGCTTAATACCAAACAAATTTTTGAAAATTTAGAATCAATTATCATTATAATTATTTTTAATTATCATTATGTGTTCTAATAATTGAATCATTCCATGAATGTTGTACTTAATAATGTTGTAGCTTTTATGGTCATATTTTATTTTCTATATTTTTTCCCGAATGTTGTATCTTTTATATTTTATTTATTACTTGGTCACTTTTCATCTCTTTTCGTTCTAAATTTTTTCAATTAGTGGAATATTTTTAATTATTTTTTATTGTGTTCTATTTATCCTTTTTTTATTTTGATGTATTGATGATCGATTAGGTTCTATTTTAACTATTTTTAATGGTGTTTTAGCTGAATTAGGGGGTTTAAATAGATATTCTAATATTAATTTTAAATATTTATTATAATATCTAGTATATTTATTATTCTTCTTGATATTCATTTATTATTTTACTAATTAATCTATTTATTTTAAAAAAATTGATTAGTCATTATAAAACTTGTTGAATTATAGTTTTGGATGTTTTTAAAAGTTTTGAGTATCAAAAAGTAATTAAAAGTTTGGATTGGATGGAAAAGCATACAGATGCACATTTTGGTGACATTAATGTTACCTGACGCCCTATTCAAATTTAAGTGGTATGTCTATCCCAATTCTCAAACTTAAGTGGCACCCTAGGTATTTTACCCCTTACCTTCAACTTACACTTACTTGTTGGAGGAGGTAGACCGGTTCCGTCAAAATAGCATACTAAGTCCACAAAATGGTTTATGTACCTCTTTCGATGAACAACCGACTAGATGACATAATTACCTTATACTTGCATTAGGAAAATAATGGACAATAGGAGACCAACAATATATATATATATATATTTTTGTAGTAACACAACATCCTATCACCTTGTGGGCAACAAAATCCCTATGCAGATTATAGGCAAGACAAAAAGAAACACCCTCTTTTAACTCTTCTGGAATAAAAATCCACAAAAGCGATGATATGAGATTTATGGATGTTGAAGATGACATAATTGTATAAAAAATATACTCTACTTTTTGAGCATCTTCATAACAACATTAGCGACAAAGTTGATCCATCAGAAAGATATATATACGTAGAAACAAGAAAAATTAGAATTTGAAGAAAAAAATGAAAGTCTCTATAAAGTAAGTCAAATATAAGAAACAAATATGCAGAACATTTTTTAAATCTACAGGAGAACAATTACTCGAGAAACTTGTCATCTATGCTTGCAGCCTTTGTACTAATTTTAAATCTCTTACTAGCAAGCATATATATTGTTATTTGACTCTAATTAGTATATATGATAATATCATTAGCAATGGTTCATCAGGTGAACCTATTATTGAAAGAGGTGGACCGCTTGTGGAAAGAGGTAGACCACTTGATAGAAGTAGTACCATTTTTTTTTTGTATAGTGGACGACCTTTTAGTGGAAGAGGTTGGTCGTTTGTTGAGCACAACAAAATGGAAAATAGTTGTTTCCTCGGGAAAATCAAATGCCACCGCTGGTGCCGAATTCGTTTCCGACGATGTTGATTTGATGTTTCGCGGTGGAAACTCCTGCGGTGCCGTTTGATCGAATGCACCGCTGATTGTTGAAATCGAGACGACCGTCAAATATCCGCCGCCGAATGTCGGCGCCGTTGATTTGATCGATGCACCTCTAAATGGTGAAATCAATGTGACCGTCAAATATCCACCACCGGTGTCGGCGATGTTGATTTGATCGATGCACCTCTGACTTCTAACCAAGAACGACCGTTACTACGGTTCGCACCTCTCCAAACTACGTTCGAACGAGGGTGTTTGAGTTTTGAGGAATCTACGTTACCGCTACTCCTATGGAGATTCCTGTGGAGAGCTCCGCGACTACGACTAAGGCTACAACTATGGAGATCCTTCCTGGAAGGAGAGCTCCGCGAAGGAGTTACAGGGAAAAGGTAAAGTTTTGACAGAGTTGTTCTGTGTCGATTTTTGGTTCTCCTTCTCTCTCCTTGCTCCGCTGCTTTTATTTGAAATCACTTGCGTAATCTTCACGCTAGGTGGAACCGCTTCCTCAACTGCTCCGTCCTGAAATCCCACGTGTCTCAACTGCCTTGATCTCCTCTTTCTGCTTTGCGTAAAAGTCACGTGCACTCGAAACCGCTCCTGTTTGCATAAACTTGGCAAAACGACGTTGAGCCAAATCCTACAACCTTGTCCATGTAACGATGTCGTTTCACCAATACCGCGGCATCACCTTTCACTAATCGATGTCGTTTCATAATCACCACTCAATTGTCTCGACCCGGTTTGACCAACGACATTGTTAGTCCATCAAACAACGTTGTTCTATACTCTTGCGACGCCGTTAGGCTTGGCAGGCTGCCTTCGGCCGAACTCTTACCACTACCGCGCTGTCGTTTTGCTTTTCCGCGGCATCGCTTTTCATTAAACGACACCGTCTAAAATACTCATAAAATACTGATTTATTCAACCAGCCCTCATTGTTAACTCGCCGTCAAACTCTCACCCCGGCGTCGTTCTTGGTTAAACAACACCGTTTCCTTGTCCCCGCGGTGTCGTTTCTTCCTCTTACGGTATCGCTTTCAACTAAACGACACCGTGCTAAAAAGTCATTAAAACATTAATTAATTAATCCGGCCATCACTAGCTACGGCCAACGACATCGCTAGCGCCACCACAGCTCCGATTGTGTTTTCCTTTTTGCGACATTGTTTGTTATTTTAAACACGGTCGTTTGCTAATCCACGGTACCGTTAGGCTTATCGCGGTACCGTTTTTAATTCCGCGACACCGTTTTAGCTCTCCGCGGTGCCGCTTCTCCCTATCCAACAAGGATTAAAAAATAATATTAATTAATTAGAGTAAGCAAAACTCATTCCCCAACACTCAACTACCGCGCGGCCCCTCTTTTGTTTTTTGGTGACCGGTACCGCGGTACCGCTGAGCTTCCTTGCGGTACTGTTTTAATTCTCCATGCGGTACCGATTTTCCCCTTCCTACAAGGAATAAAGGTAATAATTAATTATAAAACTCCCTTCTCCAACCCAACTACACGCGCGCAGCCTTTTTTTTCATTAAGCGGTGTCGTTTCCCATGCCGCGGTACCGCCGAGCTTCCTTGCGGTACCGTTTTAACTCTCCGCGACACCGCTTAACTCCAAACGACATCGTTTTTAACCCGCGGTATCGAATTAAATGCCGAGACTAATTAATGCGGTATTTAATTCTGGTCGAATTAATTTTAGGTGTCAACAAATGCCCCCCACAATTTGGTTTATAAGAATTATGAACCAAATTGTTGACCAAATAGTATAACACCTAAAATACTTGGCTCAAAATGTTCAAACGAAATAAACACGCAAGCCAAAGTTAGCAATGAAGTCTTTAATTACCAATTATATAATCCTCATGCATGGCGAAATGATTTTGGCCACCAGTATTGCGGCTAATTGCAACAACGCGGCCACACAGTCAAACTTCCCTTTTTTTTTTCTTTTCTACCAGCGCTGGCAGCATTAATTAATAACAAAAAAATTTTTTTTTTCAGGGCTGCTGGGAACAGCCGCAGGGCTGGGATTTTTTTTTTTTTTTTTTTTCAATCACCGGCGCCGTTAGCAACAGCAGCACTGCTGCAAATTTTTTTTTTTATATTATTTTTTTTTCCTGGCCTGTTTGGGCCGCTCTTCCCTTTGCCTTTTTTTTTTTTTTTCAGTGCTGCTTGGAAACAGCCGCAGCGCTGAGAAGACCTCTTTTTTTTTCTCTCTCTCTTCACGGCTGCTTGGCCGCAACTGAGAAAAAAAAGTTTTTTTTTTTTTTTTTTTTTTTGTTACAACGTAGCAGACCTGGCGGCCTCCTTCCCTCAAACGCCAAAATTTTTTTTTTTTTTTTATTTCCTCACCAGGGCTGTTTTGGCCGTCCTCTATTTTATTTATTAACAATTTTTTTTTTTTTTAATTCAGCTCTGTATGGAACAGCGGCAGCTCTGCCAAATTTTTTTATTTTATTTTATTTCTCTGGGTTGTGCGCAACAGCGCTGAGAAGGCCCTTTTTTTTATTATTTTTCCCCCGCCAGAGCTGTTTGGTTCGGCGGCAGAGCTGAATACTTTTTTTTTTTTTTTTTTTGCCAGGGCTGTTTGGCCGCCCTCTTTGCTTCTTTATTTTTTTTTTACAATCCTGCCCCAATCGGCACATATAAGAATAAATAAAAATAAAAACAAAACAATACTGAGTTAGTCCGCAACGCGGTAGCGCAGTAACCAATACTGCCGCACTGTTGCTTAAACCAAATCAGCGGTATTAAGTTTTTTATTATTATTTAAAATCTAACAAGCAGGCCGCACTGAAAATAAACCTAGCGGCCTTGTATCACAACCCCGCAACGCTGTTTTGAGTAAACAACGGCATATTACCTTTATTTAAATAATATTGTTTTCAAAACAATAGAGGCTGTCTCATAGCGGTGTGTATCCCTCCAACACTATTGAGAAAAGAGAACACAACACCGCTTGTCATCTTGAATCATTGGCAACAGCGTTGTGGCTTCTTCTCAACAATGTCGCTTGATTCTATTTTTTTGTAATAATTTTTTTTTATATAATACGTGGCCTAAATTAGCCATATTTTATTTATTTTAATAACAACTAAACAAAAGCAGGGTCTACTGGGGCATAAACCATCCTGCCAAAAGTCCACACCCATTGCCAACTCCATCGATCAAACCAAACAAGCCATCCATAAATCTCATGACTCATCACAGTTGGCTTTACACACAACTGAGATGATTTGAAGTCGATGTTAGATGGCAATTCTCGAGTTCGTCCAGCTCGAACATCTTTGTTCGAAAATCCACGAGCTCGATTTGGCTTCATCTTAGCCATAGGGTCGTGGCATGGAAAATCACTATCGGTTTTAACTCTAGGAGGGGTGTTCAAGCTTCTTGGCGCCTTTGTCTTGCCAAGTTGACCATGTGGCATTGCTTGCCCAGACTGGTCTGGTTTTGTTAGGTGCACATCCTCACCATATTGTTGAGAGTGCAAGCCTCGAGGTCTACGAGTTTCACCAACAGTCATGTGGTTATTTTGATTTTTGCACTTATCACAGAACCGCTTGGTATCTTTTGAATTTTCACGTGAGATTGGAATTTTTTGGGCATTTAGCTTGCCCCCCTGCCCGAAAATCATGGAATACTTTTTCCCAGCCAGCATTGGTGTGACAACTCCATGTTGGGGTTGATTGAACTTGCCCCCCTGTCCACTCAGTGGAGGCTTTGGGGACAAATTACAATGAGGGTTATGTTGATTCATGCCCACTTTGGTGGCATTAGATCTTTTCACGTGGTCACCACCTCCATCTTGAGTAGTGTTTGTGGTTATCCTAGTTTGATTTTTCATAGAATGGGGTGGATGTGGCAAACTTATTTGCCACTTACGGTGTTGTTTTTCTTTCAACCCGCCATGCGGTGGGATCTCATGCCCCCCTAGCGGCTTAGATTGAACATCATTGCGGTGTTGCTTGGACAACCCATCATACGCGAGCTTGCTATGCTCAACGTGATTGTAACCAGATTGTCCACCCTGATTCTTATTTTCATTCTAATTAGAAATATGTTGATACTGACCTCTTTGTAGTGGCTTCTGCAAGCCACCTCCAACTTGTGTGTCCTTAAGACCAATGTTGTTCATTGGAAAAGACACATTGGGATTCCTTGCTTCTGGCAACAGTGTCGTAGCCAGGCTCATCGATGGAATTTGGTTGACCATGGCTAGTCGATCAACCATTAAATCATTGCACGCAACAGACATGGTTTCAGATTTAAACACATCAAAATCATACGTGGCTCTATGTATTGACATACTAAAATCAGAAACACAGTCATCCAACTTATCAAACCATCGATCTATGTTGTTTTCAAGATTATCCATTTTTTTGTCAAGATTATCAAATTGGAGATTTACCTCTTGGTGAAACTCCTCCATGGATTGGCGAAACTCCTCCATGGATTGACGTAGATAGAGGATTTCAGAATGTAGCAGCTCCTCCATCCATTGAGTACGCCTATCTGCCTCGTTTGCCTGACCAACTTCAATGTTGGGCGCCTCCTCCTCCAGGTACGTGTGGAAGATCACGATCTTGTTTTCCTCGACGCGGAGCCGTTTCAAACACACGTGTCCCACCGGGTGTGCCAAATTGTTTCCTCGGGAAAATCAAATGCAACCGCCGGTGCCGAATTCGTTTCCGACGATGTTGATTTGATGTTTCGCGGTGGAAACTCCTGCGGTGCCGTTTGATCGAATGCACCGCTGATTGTTGAAATCGAGACGACCGTCAAATATCCGCCGCCGAATGTCGGCGCCGTTGATTTGATCGATGCACCTCTAAATGGTGAAATCAATGTGACCGTCAAATATCCACCACCGGTGTCGGCGATGTTGATTTGATCGATGCACCTCTGACTTCTAACCAAGAACGACCGTTACTACGGTTCGCACCTCTCCAAACTATGTTCGAACGAGGGTGTTTGAGTTTTGAGGAATCTACGTTACCGCTACTCCTATAGAGATTCCTGTGGAGAGCTCCGCGACTACGACTAAGGCTACAACTATGGAGATCCTTCCTGGAAGGAGAGCTCCGCGAAGGAGTTACAGGGAAAAGGTAAAGTTTTGACAGAGTTGTTCTGTGTCGATTTTTGGTTCTCCTTCTCTCTCCTTGCTCCGCTGCTTTTATTTGAAATCACTTGCGTAATCTTCACGCTAGGTGGAACCGCTTCCTCAACTGCTCCGTCCTGAAATCCCACGTGTCTCAACTGCCTTGATCTCCTCTTTCTGCTTTGCGTAAAAGTCACGTGCACTCGAAACCGCTCATGTTTGCATAAACTTGGCGAAACGACGTTGAGCCAAATCCTACAACCTTGTCCATGTAACGATGTCGTTTCACCAATACCGCGGCATCACCTTTCACTAATCGATGTCGTTTCATAATCACCACTCAATTGTCTCAACCCGATTTGACCAACGACATTGTTAGTCCATCAAACAACGTTGTTCTATACTCTTGCGACGCTGTTAGGCTTGGCGGGCTGCCTTCGGCCGAACTCTTACCACTACCGCGCTGTCGTTTTGCTTTTCCGCGGCATCGCTTTTCATTAAACGACACCGTCTAAAATACTCATAAAATACTGATTTATTCAACCAGCCCTCATTGTTAACTCGCCGTCAAACTCTCACCCCGGCGTCGTTCTTGGTTAAACAACACCGTTTCCTTGTCCCGCGGTGTCGTTTCTTCCTCTTACGGTATCGCTTTCAACTAAACGACACCGTGCTAAAAAGTCATTAAAACATTAATTAATTAATCCGGCCATCACTAGCTACGGCCAACGACATCGCTAGCGCCACCACAGCTCCGATTGTTTTTTCCTTTTTGCGACATTGTTTGTTATTTTAAACACGGTCGTTTGCTAATCCACGATACCGTTAGGCTTATCGCGGTACCGTTTTTAATTCCGCGGCACCGTTTTAGCTCTCCGCGGTGCCACTTCTCCCTATCCAACAAGGATTAAAAAATAATATTAATTAATTAGAGTAAGCAAAACTCATTCCCCAACACTCAACTCCTGCGCGGCCCCTCTTTTGTTTTTTGGTGACCGGTACCGCGGTACCGCTGAGCTTCCTTGCGGTACCGTTTTAATTCTCCATGCGGTACCGATTTTCCCCTTCCTACAAGGAATAAAGGTAATAATTAATTATAAAACTCCCTTCTCCAACCCAACTACATGCGCGCAGCCTTTTTTTTCATTAAGCGGTGTCGTTTCCCATGCCGCGGTACCGCCGAGCTTCCTTGCGGTACCGTTTTAACTCTCCGCGACACCGCTTAACTCCAAACGACATCGTTTTTAACCCGCGGTATCGAATTAAATGCTGAGACTAATTAATGCGGCATTTAATTCTGGTCGAATTAATTTTAGGTGTCAACAATAGTACATCTAGTCGACTGTTCCAACAATGAGGTCGACCATTTTGTCCAAATAGGTCGACCTTATTAGTGAAGAGGTCAACCGTTTTGTCCAAACAGATCGATCATATCAGTGAACAGGTAAACCGTTTTGTACAAATCAAGGTGAATTGTAAGTCATCGTAGCAAAGTTTTAAAATTTTAAAATTTACTATTTGCACTTTAATATCTCCAAAATGCTTCTATATAGAATCATGGTTTTAACTGCAATGAGTGGGTGTAACTACTAACTTACTTCAGTTCCAACAAGTACAGATAAACAGAGGCGGGAAAGCTTTCTTTATGGTTTGGACTAATGAGATAAAGAGTGGCTGGATATATGATATGTGTGGATACAACCACTAAGCGACCAGTTCCTGCAGTCAGTGGATGAAATCGGGCGGTAGGATTTGTGATTCCCCGCCGCGTTATTGTATTCGTCTCTGTTTGGTTGGCTTGAGAAATTTCCATTTTAACCATACAAGGTATAAGTGTATAACGTAGTAATTAATTTAAACATAGCAAAAATACATCTAGTTGGATTAAGGACTAATAGGAATATCTAAATTCATATTGTTATGAGCTTGATGTGGAATCCTATGACGATCCGAAATTGGACGATATTTCTAAAGGACCACTAAAAACAATTATCATCTTCCTCCACCAAACCTTCTTTGTTCCTACCTGGGATATTCTAAATCTTCCTAATGATGAGAAAATGAGAGTGTTTTGGTTTTGGTAGGAAAAACACAATCTCTAATTTCTTTATATACTAGTTTCATTTAGAGCTTTCATAAAATTCTAAACGAGTTAGTATTTAGCAGCGGCGGATCCAGAACACAGAAGAGCATTGGGCCGCATTTCATTAGAAAATTAGAATCGTAAGAAATATAATGATTATAGATTTTTTTTACTATGTCAATTGTACACGACGATATATTAATTTAGCGAATGCATCAATAATGGAGTCCACATTTCAAATAAAAATACTTGAGCAATCGTTGAGAAATTCATCGCTTATTTTTTTCGCAAATCAATTTTCACATGTTTCATTGTTGAAAAAGTTTTATCCGTAGTAGCTGTTGAAACGAGCAGCGTTAACACTAGACAAATCAATCGACTAATCAATTTGCATTATGTCTCCATCCCTATATCCACTAGCTGCCCTAGTAAATTTTCAAGGGAACAAACCTCATATTTCTTTTAGTCTTTTACGTTTTAGACTTCTAGGTTTGATTATTTTTTCTAGACGAATAACCTTTGGATCTAAAATTTCAAAACTAAATTTAGAGTAGTGATTTGAATATATTCATTTAATTTATATTTCTAGTTATACCCAATCTTATTATAAAATAACACTGGACCGAATGCCTAAAATCTAAATTTTTTTAAGGACTATACTAACACTGATTTCAGAGGAGGGCTGACCCGGGGTGGCCACCCCCTAGATCCGCCAGTGGTATTTAGTTTCCACTCATTGTTATTGGATCCATATTGGGCTCTAGTAATCATAAACTCCATGAGTATATTACTTATAATTAGCTTATCTAAATAAATCATCAAATCAAACAATATATATATATATATGGAGGTTCTCCTCCATCACCCCCATAATTCCACTTTTCCCCGCTCTTACGCAAACCACGGAGGGGGTCTTTGGTTTTTATATCTAATCCTTACAGGCGCAAACCACGAAGTGTTTCAATCTATATGGGCCTCCACACACGGCTACTTATGTCTGACTTCTGCTTCTTTAACGGGCCAATGGAAATCTAACTAATAATTATGCTATATGGTCTTGATTGTGATGTTACCCATAAATGTTGTCAATCAATGCGTCGTAGCTTCATGAGGAGCATTGGGTTGAAAAGGCTCCACCAAATCCTAATTGGGCAAAGAGGTTAAATCCCACACCACCAAGATTCGATGAACGCCCTCGATATAGGGACCTTAATGCAAATCCTCTTGATCCTTCGGAAAGGATCATTATGGCTGAATTATGTGCATACATCTAATATCAGGAGGAAATACTTAAGAGTTAACAGTATGGAGCGCCAATTATCTTCCCTTCTTGGAGCTCCACAACACCCAAATGAACTGAGGATATCTTCGGAGCAATACGGAAGACAATCCCGAAGAACAGATTAAGTACGAAAACGACCAGAACCTCATTCTTCCGAGCCTCGATGCCTTGAACGCCAAAAGGAGTCAAGAGGTACAAAGCTGGAAGCTTGGGTGGTTGTTTCCCACCAGGCTAGAAACGGCGACCCATCTGCCAAATCTTGGCCAGAATTAGCGCCCTGCGCTATTTTGTGGGCCTTCTGAACAAACCCCAAAACCCAAGCCTGAGGCCATTATGGAGTTCTCTGGATAAAAAATGTATCTTAAAAGAAAAAAGAGATGTACTTTCTCTATGGTTTAATCTTTTTCGGTATTAGCTATGAGCTTCCAAACCTTATTTTGGGGCAAAAATCATATGGAGAAAGACATTCCAAGTGCAAAATCCATATTTGACGATGTTGATTTCCAAGTGCAAAATCCATATATGACGATGTTGTGGTAAATCAGGGTGCCTACCCCACGTTGAATCATGAGTGAGGGAAGTTCTCATCAATGTAACTCCTACATGGAACATTCTTTACCCCCTTACCACAAACCTCACATCTCCATTTGAACCTTCTTCATGAAAAAGAAGTCGGAGAAGAATTGCACATCTTCAAAGTTTCTTTACTTTGAAATTGCCCTTGCTAATCATAAAAGTAGGAAAATTTTCCAAGTGGAGGTCAGATCTGCATGGAATGGATGTTAGAAACAAGGTTTCTAACAGGTTCGGGATTGGGGAGTTTAGCTAGATCAATTAGGGATTGATCTAACTAGGGATTGGGAATTGGGGGTTTAGAACAAAGAAGAGGGGAGGGAAGGGTTGCTGCTGTCGCGGCTTTTGGAAGAGAAGAGGGAGAGGGGAAATGCAGGAGAGAGAGAGAGGGAGAAAGATTAGGTTTTAGGTTTTTGTTATGTCATTGCTTAATGAATAATAAGACCACTACTAAAGATTATATAGTCTGCATAATTCCTATCTGCTACCCAAATATTAAAACATAACAATTGGCTCCCTGTTTATTCCCCAAATACCCCAAATAATCTCCAAATTTCTAAAAATGACAATAATACGAAATGACCAAAAACTGCAAATAATGTGTTTCCCACATCCCCGCCTTCTTCGGAAACAACCTTGTCCTCAAGGTTGCGGGTCCTACTCCATCTATGGCGGCCCTTCTTCGGCTGCTTCCTCCTCTGCTTCATCTTCCCAACGCCCCACCAGCATCATCAATTCGGTCTTGGTGGACTTGTGTCCCACGATGAACCTTTCGTCGCAGTTGAAACACTTGCCCTCCCTTCTCTTCTGCTCGATCTCCTGTGCTGAGAGCCTCACGAACCCTTTTGGGGGTGGCCTCGGTGCTTGCCGACTCGAGATGACTGGGCCAGCTGGCGACAGCCCGGTGCCAGTGGCCGCACTCGCCCCTCCTCCGCCTGGTCCAACGCCACCTCCTCCACTCCCACTTGTCTTTGGGAACCGCCCGATCGTACTCCTCCAGCTGGCCAACTCCTCCTCCTTATAACCTGCAAGACAAAAAGCAGACCGCAGCGAGTCGGGCTCGAATACCTTTACCGTCGCGGCTATCTCTGGCTTTAGGCCAGCCATGCACAACCCAACCGGGGTCTCCTCCGGCACTCCCTTGCATTGATTGCCCAGCTTGAAAAACTCTGCCTTGTACTCCGCTACTGTCCCAGTCTGGCCCAGCTTAGCTAGTTGCTCCGATGCCCACCCTTCTGATTTGCCAAACTGATACCGCAGCTCTTCCTTGAATAAGGGCCAGATGATCAACGTCTGCGCAGCTACGCATGATCGCTCCAGCCACTCCCACCACTGTAACACGTCCCCCTCGAGGTAGAAGGACGCCAGATGCGCCTTCCTTTCTTCCTTGGTGGGGTGATTCTTGAACCACCTGTCAGTTGCATACAACTATAAACCTGCGTCCTCCTAACCATTGAATTTTGGAAACTCAATGGTAGGGGGTTTGGCCCTAAACACCATATCGCCCTCAAAGCCTCGAGGATAGTTGTCATTAGGGCTGGGAAAATAGACCAGACCGTTAGAAAAACCATGGTCCAAACCGTACCGCACAGTTTGGTCCAGACCGCAGACCGTTAAGTATGGTCTGGTCCATGGTATGTACTATTTTATGTTTTGATCTCTTGGTCTGGTCTGGTCTAGACCGCGGTTTACCGGACCAAACCGTGGACCCAACTGACTTGTAAATATGTGTTAACAGCCCATTCGACCACTCTCTCAACTCCCACGACGACACTCAAGTCTCAACCTTAGTTTTGTGAATCTCGTCCCTCCTTAATTCACAACCACATTTAACTAGAGAGTAGAGATAATCGTGTCTCCATATGACATTATGTTAATGTTTATGACGTTATGGTGCAAGTTGGGATGCTTTTACTTTGTATCTTTGGTATGTACTAAGATTTAGAGTATCAAAATTATTCATGCATGTTAGGATTAATGATTTAAGGCAAATAACAATTATTTTTCCTGGTTATTGGTTCAATTTTTTGTGTGGTTGACTAAACAAATTATTCATTTTTCGTTGAGTGTGGTCTATCTGGACCAGACCAGACCGAACCAGACCGCACAGGCGTGGTCTGGACAGAACCGTATAGTCTATGGTCTGGTCTGTGGTCTATACTTTAGCTCTCGGTCTGGACCATAGACTGTATAGATGGTCTGGTCTAGACCATACCGCACCGTTTCCCAGCCCTAGCTGTCATACCTGTCGTACCCAGGAGCTCGATCATAATAGCCCTGTGGTCCTGGCGGCCCCCTGCTTCGGCCCCACTCATCATCCTCCTCGAACGGGTACTCCGCATACTCGTCCAGGCCCGTCTTCTGTGCCTGACTAGCATCCCACTACTCTGCCGGTGAACGGGAGCCCTGAACTGGCGGATAAGATGGTCCCAAACCCCTGCCGAGATCCCTCCTGATGCCAGAGTCCCGGTTGCCTGATCCTCCCAGGAACTGGTCCGACCGGTTCGACTCCATCCGGTCCAACCCACTCTGATCGACCCGATTCGGTTCGGCACCGGCCAGCCCTCCTCGGCCCGGCCCACACCCAGACGGTCGGTCCGACCCCCTAGCCGCGCCCCTTCCAATGGGCCCTCTTTCGGGTTCGGCCCAATTCTGGGCTCTCTGATGCGGGCCCAGCTCCTCTTCCTCGTCCAGACTCAGCCACACCAGCCCATTGGGTTCCTTGCCTTGGCCCATGTATTCGTGCGGGCTGAAATTCAGCTGGGGGCCCACATCGTCGTACCCAGGCACCTTCGCCTTGCCCTTCATGGCCGAGATTTCTTGGGCCGATGGGGTCGGGAACAGGCCCGACCCCGCCCACGCGCCGCTGCCACTGCACGATCAGCTCGGGGCGGCTCTGTGTCCGCCGCCCTACCTCCCTCGGCCACCGCGGACGCAGCGTCTGCCTGCGCCGCCACCGCCTTCGCCGCAAGCGACCCGCCGCCCCGCCTGCCCCGGCCACCGCGACCGCCGCACCAGCCTGCGCCGCCGTTGCCTTCGCCGCGGGTGTCCCGCCGACCGCCGCCTCCACCGCGGTGGTGGCTCCGCCGCCCCCGTCGACCGCCAGCTCGGCCGGGCTCGGTGTTCCCCCGACTCCATTCCCCTTTGC